ACAGAAATAAAGAAAACTACATTAATACAACAAAAATTTCCATTCTTATACACATAACATTCATTTTAATATTTGTGAAAAGCCAACAATATATGTATCTATAACAAATACCTTACTGAATCAAATTTACTAAAATATTATCAATGAGATGGACAGTTAACTGCTAACATGAACTGTAAGCACAGGTACAGAGCAGAAATCTCATCATTCTTAATTTGTCAGTCTGTGTTACAAACAGAAGGCTTCAAAATTAAAATAAAGCCCCTTTCTGATGAAGTTGCCAGGGAGAATAATTAAACATATTGAGCTGTGGTGCTGCCAGCTGATCCCCTCTCAGTGGGCAAAGCTGCGTCTGAAAAGATATGCAATGATATAGCAAAGCTGGATCTGAAATCTGTCCTTTCAGTGAGGAAAGCAGCTCCCAGGCCCAAGACCTCTCCCATGCTGTCCACCACTAGCTGCCTCTGTCCCTGACCTCCTTCAGGACTGCAAAACTTATTCAAGAAAAAGGCTTTGCAATGAAGGATTTTCTGCATAGCACAGGAGCACCACACATATGAACATGACATTCATGGCACATAGTTCTGTCTTGTTTATCTGTTCAGCATCCTGGCATATGACTGAGGTGTCTTAGTGTTACCTCAACATACCAATGTCCCTGCACTGTTCCAAGAAACAGTGGATTAGATGTGAAGCAGAGAGGGCCATGAAGATGAAATAAAATTTGGAAGGAGAAAATGAGAAAATTGTTCTGGGCAAAAAACAAAAGCTTGTTTGAAATACTTAGAGAATAATGAGGTAATATAGGTAATGTAAAATTATTATTCAACAGCACCAAGGAAAAGGCTGGGATACAGGAAGGACCAAGAGTATAGATGACTGAAGAATACCAAGAGACATGAAGGAAAGGAATAGGGAAAAATCAGAGATGGAAAAAATCATTATTTGTTGGAGGTTAGGGTTTTTCCTTTTGTTTCTTTCTCTCATAGAGTTTTGTGGCTAAGAGACTGTAACGACCAGTAAGAGAGGCAAAAAAGGTGAGGGAAGCATGCAGCTGGCTACTCTTACCTGGGAGGTTTTCTTTTTGGAAGGGCAAAGATACCATGAGATTTGGGCGGGGTGGTGAAGGGCTCTGGGCTCCACTCGCTCTTGGCATCGAAGGAAGCACAGCTGGTCTGCAGTCGCTGCCCAGAGGACTCGCTGCCACGATGGAGTTTTTGTCCTTCCACTGAATTTCATACTGTGGGTGAGCCTTTGCTTACAAGAGCATCTGTTGGACTGGGGCCTTATTAACACCCAATCTGACTGGAAGGGACCCTCACCAACTGTTTGGATGCCTCAAGGAAAACCCAAGACCCAAAACCCCTTCCTGGAGGGCACGTCTCCCTGACTGCCTGCAGCAGCTGCTACAGGAAAAGCCCAGCTGCCACTTTTTCTACTACACTCTAACCCAGTAACCCCTGCCTGCAGGGACACCCCACAGCTCTTGCTACAGCTGTGGAGTTGCTGCTGTGGTGTGTACTCATGCCTGCTGTCCCTGCTGCGGCCCATTTTCACCACCCAGCGCCGCCCACCATCACTGCATGAAGGCGATGCAGCTGAGCCCTGCGCCACAGCGCCAACTGCAGGCTCGGGGGAATCATCGCACCTGCTCAGCCAGGAACCAGCAGCGCCCCTGGCCTGGAACTGCACTGAGGGGAAGGCGCTGGTGGCAGAGAGAAGGCTGGCACTGGGTTCAAGGTTTGGTTTGTGCTGCTGCCTTGTTGTTTGTTTGTTTGCCTTGTTATACATACTAGTAAAGAACTGTTATTCCTTTTCCCATATCTTTGCCTGAAAGCCCTTTAATTTCAAAGCTGTAAAAAATCTGAGGGAAGGGAGTCATATTTTTTCATTCCAAGGGAGGTTCCTGCCTTCCTTGGCAGACACCTGTCTATCAAACCAATACATTATTGTAACTTTTCTAATTATTATTTTTTTTAGAACCTGTTTCTGCATAGTATCTGACTTAACCATGTATCCAACAAATAGCCGCAGAGAAATTCACAGTTGTGGAAATGGAGAAGAGACAAATTGTATCTGCTTCACTCTGACTCTTCTTGGAAGCTGGAGCTGATTATTGTTTGGACACACAACAGACAGATCAATTTCTGCAGATGTTTGACATCCACCCTTCCAGAACATTTATGGGCAGGCCAGAGGATGAATGCTTTCAGCAGAAACTTCAGTTTCCTCTGCTGCTTCAGATGAAGTTAGAATTTTTGTTCTGGAAAGCACCTGTTCCAAATGCAGGCAGTCCACACCTCACAGCAATGCTCCTCCATGCCACTATCCAACACCTTGTGATGCCTGAAACCATCGATCCAACAACTGCTGATGAGCTACTTCCAAAGAGAATGAGAATCCAGCATTGCTTTTGACTGTTTTGCTTTACAGGAGAAAGCAAGCATTTAAATGTTTGAGTGGCTTGGAGGGTGTCCTGGGGGGACTTTATGATACTGGTAATCCCAATCTCCTGCTTTATATATATATATTAAGTTCTGCACCTTTAAGCTTAGCTTTGGGGCTAGGGAAGTTGAAACTGCTGGAGGCTGATGGGAGTTTTTCTCTTGACCAATAACTAGCCATTTCTGAGAACTGGCAGTGATTTTGACCATTGAAAAGTGAGATCGACCTGTGAACACCTACTTTAAGATGTAAGTCCAGGAATTTCTGATTCTCTTTGGTTTCTGGTTTGGTTTGGTAACAGGCTCTGGCTCAGCCTCCTTCCCCACCGCCCGCAGGCCGGACAAAGCCACAGAGGGCGGGGGGGAAGAAATGGAGCCATCCGGTTCCTGACTCAGTTTGCAGTTTTTGCCGCTGAACTGAAACCTGACCCCATGTACATCTGCAGCTTGAGCAAGACTTCAACTCGTTTACTACCTGGATGAGACTTGCAGATTAATCCTTTTTTTTCCCAGAGAGAGAGGAAGAGAGAGAGGGAGCGATCAACATATAAGGAGACACCATAAACCCATCAAAGACAGTGAAGAAAAGAATTAAATTTAGAGGGGCAAGAGAAATAAGGAGATGCTTTAATAAACTGAAATATTTTTCTGTTAAAGCTATGGAGATGGACAGTAGTGTTCTGAAAAAAACTCCTTTAATTCATGACAGAGTATATTGGGAGGAATGGAATGTTTTAAAGTGTGGTTTTTGAGCAAATGGTAAAGTGGTTGTGATACTGTGAGATGCTGGAACAGAGGGGGAGAAGTAATAGTTGAAGATTTGTGGCCTTTAAGAGGCAAAGAGAAAACTTTTGTTTCCAGAGGGGCTCACAAAAACAGACGAAGAGAACTTTTGCCTTTGAATAACTCATCTTTAAAAATGGCATCCCTAGACTCATTTGACCCATAACACACCTCAGAGTGATGTGAAATGGGAGGAGTGAACTGATGGCAGAATTTCCACCCAGTTGGCATCAGAGAAATAGAAAGCTATAAAGGAAATAGTTTTCTTGAAAAAAACTCCATAGATTTGCAGAAGAAGACTTCTTTATCTCTACAAAGACTGATGAAAGGATTATAGCAAGAATTGAGACTGTTTTAACCACCAAAGTTTTTTTGTCTCTATGTTGTCATGTGAACAAGGGAATGGTTGGGTAGTGGGAGAGAAAGGGGTTATTCTGGAAGTTTTATTCTAGTTTCTTATTCTTGTAGTTTTTGTTAATAAACTTTCTTTGTTCCTTTTAAGTTTTAAGCCTGTTTTGCTCTTGTTCTCATCCATATCTCACAGCAAGAAATAAGTAAGTTTTCTAGTGATGTTTTAGTTACTGCTTTAAAACCACAACACTTATTTGGTGTGTTGGCTGGGAAATGAAATTGGCAAATCTGAACCACTACAGAGGGTCAGAACAAGGATAGTACTTCTCTCGAGCTAAAGACATAAGACAATTTCTGCAAGAAATCTGAAGAGAAACTTGTCCATAATTATACTTATTCACATAGGAAAGAAACCATATATCAATTTAGACTACCAAATGACAGAATTAGTTGTCTTACTTTTCCGTAGTCCTGTAGAAAAACTTGTGAAGACATTTTTGGGAAGGCTTCAGGCCAAATGCCCATTTTAATTTGAAGAGGAAAGCTTCTTCCTACCAATTCTCAATGCCAGATTACATAAAAACGCAGGTGAGGCACTGCTAAAAAATGGGAATTCAGCAGCAGCACCCAAGTCCCCCTGAAGAGCATTCAGACAGTTTTGAAAATACTGTCTGTAATATTATCGACAGGCTTCCCTCTCATTCCCAGTCATGTGTTCCCACTGGCAAAAAAATAACCTTCTGTATGAAGCAGACTTAATACTATGAAAAGTAAGTGAAGCAAGTACATGTGTTTCCTTCCATGTATGAATCTATCAGAGAAAGCAAAACAGGATTTGGTCTTCCATCATGAAGAGAATGTTAAAGAGGCATCTGCTTTTTCCAGTTTGAATAATTTCAGTGAAACAGACACCCAGGTGGCAGCCAGGAGGACTGGGATTTCTCAGCTTGGGCTACAGCTAATATAAGATGTGTTTCATCCTGAAGCCAAGTATCTCACACTGAGAAGAGCAGCACTCCATCATTTTGCTGGTTTTCCTGCCTGGAGTGACACCAGCTTTCCTGTGGGATGAACAGGTCACTCCACCTGACCTGAATTTGCACTCAAAAGGCCTTTGCCACAAACCAACAAAAAAGAAAAAGCCTGGGAAACTGAAGGTGAAATGGTGGCTCTTCTCCAGTGAAATCCTTGAGGAATTTAGTTACTCCCTTTAAGAGAACAAGGAATTCACACAAAAAGATCAATATCCAAATGTCATGCACAAAATCTGTGGGAGCTGTTTAATACAGAAGTTTTATGAAGCAGTCACATAGGAAAGCCCCACATTTTGTGACAGCGAGCAGAAGAAAGAGACCCTTGAAAGGAAAAATATGATTAAAAAAAATCAGCATGCCATTAAAACAAGCAAAAATACACATTATATTACATGAGTGAAGTGTGTTTTATTTAGTGTAGGTGTCATTTTTTATTAATTCATATCCTAAGTGCTAAGGTGTTTTCTAAAGCCATTAGGTGGTGCTTTCAGTAAGTAATAGAATAAATAGTTCTTGCATGGTTCCCTTTTGCATTGTGTTCTCGGTTTCTGAAGTAAAAGGAAGTTGAAGCAAAATACCACAGATGCCTCCTCCTTCTGAAGCCCAGTGCCCTGGTACAAAGTTGTGCATCACGTTTCTGAGGCACTCTGGCTCCCCTCCGGCGTGATAAACTGCACTTTGGGCACAATGAGTGAGGAGTTGGTTCTCCGCATGGAGTTGCTCCTCCGAATGGAGTTGTTTCTCCTCATGGAGTTGCGCTTCCTCAGGGAGTTTTGGTGGGACAGCTCGCTCTTCTGCAGGGTCTGGATGAGGATGGAGGGCTTCTCATCAAGCTCCCGGGCACTGCAGCGCGGCGCAGCCACTTTGACAGTGTTGCCAAACTTGGAGTAGTCAACAGAGTACACACCTTCCTCCTCAGTGACGATGGGCACGAAGCGGTGACCCCACAGGATCTCCTCTGCCACGTAGGAGGTTCTCGCCTGTGTCGTGATACCGGTGGTTTCTACGACCCCTTCCAGTATCACAATGAGCTCCAGGTCCTGGAGTGCCAGGTCAGAAGCAGAGATATCATAAAGAGGACTCTGCTTGTCTATGACATGACAAATGATCAAGGGAGCCACCAGGAAAATGTTGTTGCTTTCAATGGGGTTATCCACGGGGATATCCACTTGGTGAATGGGTATGACTTCTCCTTCAGGGGTCGTGGTCTTTCTCACGACCTGGATTCTCACTGAGGCGCTGATGATCATACTCTTCCTCAGGTCCCCCACCCGGAACATGAAGCAGAGCTTGCTGTTGCGGACGGCAATGACTGCCTGCCGGCTGAAGATCAGTGTCTCGGCCCGCCGGTGAGCTTGTGCTGTCTTCATGAATATGCAGCCCAGCATGACAGCATTGATGATCAGCCCCACAATATTCTGCAGGATCAGGACCGTAATAGCTAGGGGACATTCCTCAGTCATCATCCTGCCCCCAAAGCCAATGGTCACCTGGACTTCAATGGAGAAGAGGAAAGCGGAGGTGAAAGACCTGTAGGGGAAGATTGCACCCAGTTAACTCTCACGACACAGAGCACATACTGATAAGCTGTTAACATGTGCTTCCAGAAACAAGCTTAAGGACCTGTTTGTATGGCTCTAGTACACACAGACCTTTTGTTAACACCAGCCAAAGCATTGCATGCTTGATGGCTCAGATTTGTGTGGTTGGTGTAGTTTCTACTGGTGGCAGGGAAGACCTCAGAGCCTGAGCTCCTCAAAGACCATCTGGGTGACCCTGAGCAGCTCAGGGAATCTCTGTTCAGGAGCACAGGCTTCCTACTGGCTTAGTGAACAGCTCTGGAACAACTGGGCTTTCCACCTTCTCCATCCGATGAAGCCCTTGGTGGAGAGAGGTGGTTTTGGCAAGCATGGGCAATCAGCTGGCACACTGAGATCCTTCCACCAGCCTGTGCAAGGAAGGGAAACGGAAAACTTCAGTACTTCACTCATGCTACCTGAATTATAACCCAGTATTTCCTGGTGGGGGAAAAGGGGCTTTCCCAGATTTGTGACACTTCCCAAACCCTTGCTCACCTTGTGGCTGAGCAGGATGAGCTTGCAGAGAGAGGTCAGTGGCACATCCTGGCAGTAGGACAGTGCTGTGACCCAGGGTTTGGGTTCAGCTCACTGCCAGGGCAAGACCAGCTGGAAAATTTCAACACCAAAGTTGGATGTAGAAGTGTGGGTTAAGTTAAATACCCTAAAATTCTATGGTACTGGACAGAAAATGCTGCCCACAAACTTCCCAAGATACATTATTTATAGCAGCCACAAAGTCATATCCCCTGTATATATCAAGGTCCTTAACTTCTTTTTATATTTATTTATTCTTTTATTCCTTCCAGATACATCCTTCCAGTGCAATTCAATAAATCTGAAGCATCAGAATGCTTAACAGGGCTAGACAGTGGAAAATATATCCTGCCCATGAAGATGGTCTAAATAATTTGTTGAGATTACTTTGCTTTTCAATTAATCTGCTTTTAAACATTTTTTTTTTTTTCTAGACATATTTTCACTGGGATATCAAGGACACATGTGAATAGCATTATCAATATCAAGGATAATTTTCTGTGCAATGAGAAAGTCCATCTTTCAGAAAACCAACCAGTCTCTGCACAGGTATCTTTGAAATAAATTTATTTTTTTGCCTTTTCTATTTTTCTTAAGCATTAACAAATTCCTTTGTATTGAGGGGGTTTATTTTGTATTTCACTCTGAAGAAACCAGGGACAAAGGAGTGTCATGGAGTTACTTTACCTTTAAGAAAGTTTAAGTTGTTGGGAACTGCCTGGAGTCTTTTCTCCTGACCAATTATCGGTCATTGCTGAGAATTGACAGCAGTTTAGGCCATTGAAAAGTGGGATCAACTTGTGAACCCTACCTTAAAGTGTAAAACCAGAGCTCTCTTGGTTCTCTTTGTTTCCTGGCTGGGAAGGGCGGCAGAGCTCCAGGCCTCCCGTTCCCTGCCCAGGCCATGAGGCCGGGCGGGGACTGGGCTGGGCCCAGCGTCTCCCGGCCGGGAGATGCGGGCCCTGAGGAAAAAGTTTTCTCCGGGCTCCGGCCGGGCCGGGCCGAGCCGATCTCTGGCTCGGCTGCAGGTTTTTTGCTGTAACTAAATTCAGAAAAGAAACTGCTGAGTGAAGAAGGAGAGAGGCTCTGGACCTGCAGCGGGCTGGGCGCGGCGACTACACTCTCCAGAGCAGCCATGAGGAACTTTCCATCGCAGACGGCTCCAGCTCCTGCACCGGCCGAGGCCACAGAACTACCTACAACAGCCTGGGCAAGATTTTAACTCTTTCATTTCCCAGATGAGACTTGCGGATTAATCTTTTTATCCAGACAGAGAAAAGAGAGTGATCAACATGAAAAGAGACTTTATAAACTACTAGTGACAGGAAAGAAAAGAAGCTTCAGAAAAGGTAGAGAATTAAGAAGATGCTTTAATTAAGCTGAAATATCTTTCTGTTAAAACTATGGAAATGGACAATAAGGTCTTGAAAACACTCCTTTAATTCATGACAGTAAATAGGGAGGAATAGAGTGTTCAAAGTGTAAATTTTGAGTAAAAAAGTAGAGTAATTATGGTACAGTGAAGTGCTGGAAGATTTGAAGCCTTGAGAGGCAATGAGAAAACTGTTTTCTAGTGAAGCTCACAGAAACAGATGAAGAAGACTTTTTGCCTTTGAATAACTTATCCTTAAAAATCCCATCCCTAGACCCATGGCCCATACACACTTGAGAGTGATGTGAAAATGGGAGGAGTGGGCTCTAATAACAGCAGCTCTGGGCAGCTAACATTAGAGCAATGGAAAACTATAAGAAAAATAGTTTTTCTTGTGAGAAACTCCATAAATTAACAGGAAGAAACTTCTGTTTCTCTATAAAGACTGGTGAAAAGACTGTAGCAAGAATTGGGACTGTTTTAACCATCAAAGTTCCAAAGTTTTTGTCTCTTTTGTCATGTGAACAAGGGAATAGTGGGTAGACAAGGGATGAAAAGGTTTTTCTGGAAGTTTATTCTGGTGTTCTTATTGTAGTTTGTCAATAAACTTTTCTTTTTTTTTTCCTTTTAAGTTTTATGCCTGTTTTGCTCTTGTTCTAATCCATATCTCACAGCAAGAAATAAGTAATTTTCTTAGTTATTGGTTTAAAACCACGACAAGGAGTTAATTAATAGAATCCATTTAATGACTTCTTATAATCATTACAAGCAGAATGAAGCTTCTGGATTCAATTTCAGTCAGCTTAATTCAGCTTAAAACTCTGTCCAGTAAGTAGTCTGACTTCCCTTAGCAGTACCCATTCTGTTTTTTTTTTTAATTTGTTTGTGGTTTTTGTTTGTTTGTTTTTTTAAAAAAAACAAAAAAAATCAATAACAACAACAAAACAAACAAAAAAACTCATAAAACCAATCCACCTTTTTAACAGTGGAAGTGAAAGAATAAGTTTGGAAAGCATTTTAACTGTGTGAAATGGGTGAAAATGCAAATCACACAGTTCCCAGGTTCTTCCCCCAGAGCTGTGTAGCAGCTTTCATATTTGGATGTTTGCTTTCTGTTGCAAAGAGATATGAGGCTTAGAAATTTCTGCAGTACTTTGTAAAATGAAAGGACTGTGCAAGCTCCAGGCACTTGCTAAAATTTCCAAAGCCAGGTTTTCCTGTAAATATGTAATGGCATCTACCCAAGAAAGCTCTTCTGAAATATCTGTGGGCCTAAACCTCAGGGGAGTAGGTTAAAAATTATTTATCATGATTTTGGCATTGCAATATTAAAGATATTTTACACCCAAAAACTTGCCATTCTTAAAGATGTCAACAATCACATTGTTACTTCATGATTTTGACTAAAGTGGTAGCCAGATTTCCCTAGGAAAGGAAAAGATTTCCCATGGCTTGGACATGGGCACTGGAGCAGCTATGGGGAGACTCCACGTGGACACCCCACGAGGGTAGGGGGTGTGTTCTTTGGCATGAGCTAAACCTGAAATTATGTTGATTCATTCATTGTGCGTCCTAGCAGACATCCTGGAAGAGCCACAGGCAGCTATGGGGAGGGAACAGGGGCAGAGTCCTGGCTGTGGATGTGCCTGGCCCCAGTGGCATGAAGCCGTTGGCCTCCAGCTCAGGATCTGTGGGATGATACAGCAGCCACACCGAATGAGCCACCAGCCACATGCAGGGATGTCGCCTCAGCTGACCCTGGTGAGCTGCAGGGTTATAGCTGTTCACTAATTCCAGCTGGACAGATCCCACAAATCCAGGAAATGCTGGGGGTAACACTCCTGTGGGTGCAAGCTGGGTCATGACATCTCATTTCAGATGAAACTGCTTATGGCCAGACATTGGAAAAGAAATAAGACAGCAGGCTCTGCTCCAATTCTCCTCAACCTAGTGAAGGGTAGCTTGGAAAAATTCCCTCTTCTTTTACCTTGGAAAATCCCATTTAGCAAAAAAAAGTGTCAAAACAAAGGGAGAATTAAATCTTTACTACTTTGTGAGCCAGATACAAAGTCCCTTCAGACTTGGTGGGGTACCTCAAAATTTTGTGGGAGAAAAGTAAAAAGGGAAGTGAATTCACTGATGTCTCAGAGCACCCCACAACCCCCAGACCCTCACAGCACTGCAATGTGTAAAGGCAGATGATCTGGGCAGCCTGGTGGTACAGAACCAGGACTTTTCTACCTAAAAACCTAGTGCTAAAAAAGCAGATTTAATTGGTGAGATCCTGAAGTGATCTTATGGCTTATCCCACCTGCAATTCACAGTCTTCTTTTCCATGTATATGTCAGCTTATCAGTGCCCTGACAATTGTGGCTTTGGGTACAGAGAGTAAAATACTTCAACAGGTGGCATTTAATCCAGTCATCCCTTAAGCTTTCACTGTCTGACACAAATGCACAGTGTGGAAAGTGTTCCTCTGCCCAACTGCTGGCCTATGGCTTCGCTAAGGCATTTTGAAATCCTGCATATTTAACACTCATGAAAGTCATCTTGAAACACACTTAGTTTTGTCCTAAGTGACACAATTCCTGGCACCTCTGGCTGGTGCCCTGCCTGACACCCAGGGCTGGTTCCCTGCCTCTCAGGCACTGCTCTAGAGGGAGCACCTCTGGCCAACATGGCGCTGGGAATACTCCCGCTGCTGTAGACAACGTTACAATACATATAACACATACCCACTCTTGCAGCAGGCTCTTATCTCGACAGGCAATCGAGTTACCCACAGAGTGTGGAGACACATGAAAAGCAGCAGGTCTCCCTCTCTTTCAGATCCTGTAAGGAATCAAAGACATCTACAGTACAGTATTTTCCAAGCCCGGGAGGCTTGCTGAGTTTACGCAGTCTAGAGGAAAACACTGCACTTTTCAACTGTCTCAACGAAACCCAACGGTTCATGTACACTAAAAGCTGCACTTCAGACAACACCAGGACAGCCCCCACTTCCTTCATCCCACCAAAGTCAACTTTACCTAACACATGTCACACACGGCGTCCACTTCGTGCTGTTTGAAGGGTTTTCTGTGCTCGGGTCCATGTCGCCATGGGCAAAGGCCACCAGCCACCACATCATGGCAAAGAGCAGCCAGCTGCACAGGAAGGACATGGTAAAGATGACCAGTGTGTGACGCCACTTCAGGTCCACCAGGGTGGTGAAGATGTCTTGCAGGAATCGCCCCTGCTCACGGATGTTCTTGTGAGCCAGGTTGCAGGCGCCATTCTTGGCGATGAAGCGGGCTTTGCGTGGGCGGTCACGGATGCGCGGCTTGCGCAGGTTCTCAGCAGCGATACGTGCCAGCACATACTCTTCAGGGATGATACTCTTGCGAGCCAACATCTTCCTGCCACCATAGTCCACTTAGGGAGATGTGAAATGGGAGGTGGTCTCTCTAGCAAGTCTCTGCAGGGTTTGCTTTACCCTGCAAAACAGAGAAAACCTGGTCAGACTTGTCACCTGTGCAAGAAGACCCGATTAGGTACCACCTGCCAAACCCCACTACATTAAATGCTGGTTCTACAGTGTCCTCCCTCTCTCAGACCATCGTTTTTATATGAATAGCTGGTATCAGCTCGTAGCAGAAATGAAAGATGCTACTGGGAGACTCCTTGCAGGAAGGAAGGCTAACACAGCAGTCTCACAAAGTCGATGTAAAGCACCGTGACAGACAGCAGCTCGGTTCCTCAGGCTGCTTCTCCGGGAGACACCAGTGCTCAGATGGGGACCGCAACACGAAGCACTAAGTTTTTCGTATCCCTCAGGACCTGGAGAATCAGACGTCTATGGTTTGAGTCGAAGTTAATCTGCGGAGACAGGGCAGAGACTCCCTCCTTACGGCTGCAGCCCCGCAGAGCATCTAGCCCGCCGGCTGCCCCGTCCTCTGAGAGCATCACAAGAAGGAGTTGAGCTGGAGCCGCGGCAGGCAGGGAACGGGACTCCTCGGAGTAGTCGGTCGCATTTTCCCTCGCAGCTCTCCGTCCCTTCCGGGATCAGGCGGGAAAACCCTCCCTTTATTCCCAAACTTTGTCCCCAAACGGGTAACAGAACAAACCTACGGAAAGCCAGGCTCCCCAGCGGCTGACCTGTCCCGACAGGGGAGGGCAGGGCTGCCCCACCCCCCGGCGCCTCGCAGGGTCCCCCCAGCCCCCGGCACCGCCGCCACTCACTACGGAACGGGGCGGGACGCGGCCGGGCCCGGCGGAGCGGGGCGGGAGGAGCGGGGCAGCAGCTCCGGGGGATGCGCGAGGGGATGGGGCGGGGCTCGGGCTCGGGATGCGGGGGTCGGGCACGGGATGCGGGGTCGAGCTCGAAGTGCGGGGCCGGGAGTGGCGGTCGGGATGCGGAGCAGGGGCGCACATGCTCCCTGCGCTCCGCGGTGTCTGCAGACGATGGGTTGTGAGGGGGTTTTAGACAGGTTCCAGCCCATGTAACAGCGGAGCAAGATGCTAACACTGCTGGTCTGTGCCATTTCGCGAGTTACACAAAGCTGCGCCCCTGCCTGCTTCCCCTGGCAAGCCAAGAGTTGTGCCTTCCTAACTTAATCTTCCTTCGAATCTGTCAGAGACAGAGGAAACGAGGCATATGCTAAGTGTTTGGGGAACCGAAGCCAGAATCTCATGACCTTTGCAGCTTTGAACAAACTTAATTACCTGTCTCTACCAAAAAGGAAGGAAGGACATTTCACAGGTCGCAAGCTCTTGCTGAGCAGCATCAGGCCCGTTGTAATGGTCGGCTGGGAAATGGGCACTGGCAGATGGGGATTTGTATCTGGGATGGGTGTAGGAGGATTTATGTACAATGACAACCTCTCCCCCACCTTCCTACTGAAATCCCTGAAGTTGTTTCTCATTCCCAATGGTTGAGGTTAACAATTTTGGCCCTTGTGTTTAATGGAAACTTGCATTCTTAGAAATTGCAGCTTTTTTGGGGTTTTTTTTGTTTTGTTTTTTTTTTGTCCCGATGTCTTAAGGTTTGTAATGGGAAGAAAAAACAGTACATCAATGTTATGAAAATATCTAAATTTAGATTTTAATGAAGCAAAGTGCAGAGATTGTGTCAGATTAAGTCCCTAATACCTGTGTGTGTGTGTGTGTGTCTGTGTCTGTGTATGTGGTGGGGAGGTTCTAAAATTTTCTGTGTATCACTCAAGTAAATCACCTGTAGGGTATAAAATTTCTACAGAATAAAATACCTCGCTTCTCTGTAAACTAGGGAAAAGCTTGACAGGCCTACTGCAATCAGGAAGGTTTTAAGCATATTCAGGCTTGGAAAAACTGAGAAGGCACTTTTGACAGGCAGTGTGATCAGCTTGAAGATATCCACCCTGCTGAACACATGCACGTGGTTAACTTTAAATAGATGAGAAGTTCCTGGAAAATTTTCCAGCACTGGCTTTTGCTAATACCACATACCCAGTAGCGAGAGGAGAGACAGACACAAAGCCCCAGTCATATTATGCAATTAGCTTAATATTTATGCATGAAATTAACTTCAGGCAGATGGAAAACTGAAAATCAGGATCTAAGCCAAATACCTTTAGATTCTAACCAGACTCTGAGTACAAACACATAAAGTCACTTGGGTGGGTATCTGCAGGGTCAGCGTTGTTGGTGTGTGGTATTTCATGGGCCACATGAGATGTTCCCAGAGAACTTGGGAAATTATCCTTCTACAAATAGGGTGGTAGAGACAGCTGTAGAGGGGCTGACTCATTTCATTCATGCAGCCTCCAAAAGTGCATCTCACTTGGATGTAACTATTGGAAATAACTGGTTTAATACACATGGAAAAAAACCCTGTTCCCTTTCCCTTTTTCCCTTTTCCTTATTCTCTTCTTGTGCCCTTCTCCCATTTAGCTCCTGTGAAGTATTTGTTCTGTTCTAGGGCAAGAAACAAGATTGTTGTTCCCCAGTATGGCTGCTAAGTGCAGCTCAAAAAATAAATGTGGGAACTGCATGGAACACTTCCCACCCCTTACTTCTTCATGAGACCCTTGAATTGGTATAACTTTGTTTTTGACACAAATTAGCTCATGCTACATGCCAAATTGCACAGCTTCCTCTGAAGTTCTTGAAATCCACAGCTTTATAATCAGGGGACAGAAACACCAAGAAATGTTGCTTTATTTACTTGCCACCTCAGAGTATAACTCACATGTGTGACTGTTTTCAGCCTCATCCCCTTCTCACTCAGCCCCTCAAGCTGCTGCTGTGCTTCTTACCCCATCTCTGCTGGTAGTGAGTGCAACTGTGTGACACAGCGTGTGGATTAGCAACCAGTTTGGAAAAATGGATCAAACCCATCTTTGAGGGCAGGTGGAAGCAAGGAGCAACATTCCTTGAGCTACTCAAGTGGACCAGAAACTGCTGCCAGCTCTGGCACTGTCAGGAGTCTCTTGTGAGCTCTCAGGACCACATGTTCCCTACTAACCTGCTGGAGGTTTCCTCCTTCTTAACTGGTACCATGCAGAGGCTGGAATTCTTGTAGCTGAGATAGGAAGGGATCCATCAAACACACACAAATAGTCCTGGCACAGCTCCAATGTGGCTGAACAAAAGTTACTGAGCCTTTCACCCACCATCATACATTGCAGGAAAAGTGCTCATAAAATCCCATCTTTCCCTCTCTACCTGTTCAAAGCTGGAAGAGATGCCTTCCTCCTCACTTTTACTGGAGATGAGTTTTGAGGAAGCCTGCTGGGCCATGACCACAGGGATGTGAGGATCAGGAGCTCCAGGCATGACTCTGAGCACAGCATCCATTTCCCCAAGTTCCTGTGTATGAATACGCTCTGGAGAGTGACAGCTACTAAAACCCTTCCCCTCTGACCTTTTAAATACTTGCTTGTTTGCCACATGAACACTTGAGTCTGAGATTTAAGTAATAGCCGTGAAAAACTCCTAAAATGTCTCCTAACATATTTGGTAAGGAACAGTGTCTGAGTGTTGTGAACACAGCCTTTTCAGGAAAAAAAATTATCAGAATTGATGGCAGTTGTAGGTCCAGTTTTCTTATGGCCCTTCATGTGCCTCCTTCTTGCTCTTTCTTTCTCCTCCACCCACAAGCATTACTGATATTATAGTAAATATTACTTTACAATTATGCCTATCTACAAAACAGGATTAAATAATGTGCTTAGACATGAATCTGAAATTTCCACATTATAGTCGTGTCCAGCCCTTTCAGAAAATCCTGCTTTGTAATAAGTTTTGTTTGAAATTCTAATCTTAGCTTAGAGATAGGATGACTTTGCAGGCGTCCAGAGATGTCATGCACTTTGAGTGAGGCTTCCAGAGAGACACAAAGCTGATAAGCCATATTCGGATAGTGTGGGTGAACTCTTCCCTACATGAGCTGGCATGACATCCATCAACAGAAACAGCAGAAACTGCAAACTAAAGGCATCTGTTACCCTGAACCATCTCTTCCCTGCCCCTCCCCCAGCCCCCCCTTCATGCAAGAGCAGTAGGACAAAAATAGTTTTTATCATCAAAATACATGTAACTAGTGCCCCTTGTCCAATGTAAGTTGCATAGTGAAGCTTGTTCATTATGTGCCTTTTCCTGGAGTTTATCCTAAGGCTCTGGGAAGAGCAACCCCAAACTGGGATTGTTTCCTTGCTTCCTCATGCCTTAATTTATGGGGACGTTGTAAATCAATTTCTAGGTAAATTGAACATGTGTTACAGTGAGTCTTCAGCTGTGTTCCTAGAACGTGGTGTCCCTTAGGTACTTCCCCTCTCTATCTCCCCGACTTTTCCAGGGTTAAATTAAGATTATGCCAGTTTCAGAAGGGAGATGTCATGTCTCACCTTCAGATTTTATCACAGAATATCTGGCAACTCCAAACCCTCAAATCTCAGATGCTCTGGTGGGACCTGAAGAAGTAGATGGACCCAAATCTGAATGATTCAGCCATGAAAATCTGCAGTACTCAGAGTTTCTTTGACTTCCACCTTCCTGCCTATGATGGAGAAGTCTAATGGTCATATTGCTGCAGAAGTAAGGGCCTAATAATGTGGCTGGTAGAATAAAAATACATATAACCATTAAATATGCTGCCTTGGGGCATCTGTAGCTGTGATCATGAAGGATGGTAGTTCTGGACCATGTCATTTACATGAAGCTGCATTAGTTCCTTAATTACATGCTTAAATATTTTACTGCACATTGAAGTGGTATTTATGGATATAGCCTGAAAATCCTGAAATAAATTAAAGGGAGAGTTAAGAAATGTCATGGGAATAGCTATGAGGAACTCTTCTGGGCAGTCCTAGCTGGGACTGTTCATTACTTACTTGTACCGTTAATCCAAAGGTTGTATAGGCATGTAATGTATTTATATATAAAGCAGACTAATATACATACATGGGAATGAGTTGCAGGGGCCACTGAAATGTGCAGTGTGCTGTCGTGAGCTGGATGCTGCATTATTATAGAGCAGCTCATGGGATGAAAATCCCCATGTTCCATGAAAATGAAAGGAGGCATCTTGCATGTGATGAATGACAATTGCACCTAAAAGAAACCAATTAAAAATGTATTTTAAATAACTGTTTGTTTATAGTATTCAGAATGTGGTTTATTATATTAGAGAAATGAGCAGCCCCTGCCAGGAGTGTCTGTTCTGTTTGCATGGGTAGTATCTAGCAGCAGACAAATGCTATCAATAGTGAATATTTAATAGTAACTGTAGGAAATAGATTTTCTAAAAATCTATTTTCTCTTGACAGATTACACTTGGAAGCTTCTTGGCTTCATTCAAGCCAATACTTGAAGCTGTCCTGCCAAAACAAAACAGTATCAGCAAGTTGCTAATTTGTACAAGTCAGCAAACTTTTGGCTCACGACAATTTTTTTCATCATTTGAATACCTGATAGTCTTTTCCTACAGTTCTGCACAGAGGTCAATTCTAATGGAGAAAAAACAGAGCAGTAAAAAAACAATGAAATTATTGGGATGTTTGCATGGCAATGGATAATTTGATTTACAGTTTTGTTTTCTGACTTCTTTTAATAGTCTCTTAGTTTGGCCTCTGAAAGGATTTAGTTTCCAAAGAAACTAAGGAGTTCTTCACATGCCACCATGGAATTCATATCAGAGAATTTACATAGCATATTTAGATTTTGAATAAAGCTTTTATAAGATGCTACTTGAGGATTCAAGTATGCTCAGTTAATTTTTGCTTTTAATCACGTTTAGTGTGAGAATCATTGCTCCAGAGAGGTGTTTACAAGTGGCACTGTGGTTTCAGTGGATATTTTAGAGTTGACTTTGACTGGCAGTATCACACTGGGGACACGGGGTTATAGTGCTTCCAAGGGGAACAAACTCCAGCTTCTGACACTGGATAATGGAAGCATGATAATGAAAACATGGCCCCTGTCCACAGCTTTTTTATAAAGGTAGCTGTTGACTCAAGTGCATTATATCTCTGTTTATTTTTTTTGATAAAATACCTACAAGCATTTGTGTGAAATGCTCATGTGAGGTTTCCTTCAGTTTTTCATGATGCATTAACAAAATTGTCTGTAAATGTTTACATCTTTACACAATAAAGCACAACAGTCCATTGCTTTGGGAAGCAAAAGAAACACATTCAATCAAATGAAACAACTTACTGTACAAGGAGTTTTTACTACTTGACCACATTTGAAATTGTATTTCTATTTTAAGAAAACACAATTCAATATTATTGCTTTCTGCAGAGGTTTTATATATAATGAGATGCAAACTTCTTTGTGCTCTATTGCTTTTTGTACTGAGTTCTATGAAGGTGTATGAATTTATAGTAGAGGTGTTCTGCTATAACAAACCTAAAAGGGGCTTGTCTAAGTGCTTGAGAAGTATTGGAGAATATATTCATTCAGCTAAACGATACAGTTGGGAAAAGCAGACACACTCCTGCAAATAAAGAGCTTTTTCAGGTCCGCAGTGCAACTGGAACTTTTAAACACTTGAGATACCTCTTGTGCATATCACTTGGCCTAACAAAGCAGAGATCTCTCCCTACAGACTTTGTCTTGCTTGTGCCCCTGGCTTAAAAGAGCTATCCCAAACTGCTCAGGGGAAGTTCCAGTGTTTCCTAGCACGATTAAGATTGGGCTCAGTAAAGATTGTGTGGGATATTTCTAGTTTGGAAGGAGCAGGAATAAGCTGTTATGAGCTGTGATGAGTTTGATGAAAGGCCACATATAGGAAGGGAACAGTTTTATCTGTGCCAGCCCTTAGACCCAGCTCAAGGACTGGGAAAGATACCCACGAGCTGTAAGGTTAAGAAACACTGTTGTGGTTCTACAAGAAGTTGCAAAACCAATTTCTGTACCTAAAGGGGACCTGCAGGAAGAGACTGTGAGGAAGTGCAGTGGCAGGAAGAGGGGGGATGGCTTCAAACTGGAAGAGGGTAGGTTTAGATTGGATATGAGGAAGAAATTGTTCGCTGTCAGGGTGCTGAGGCCCTGGCACAGGGTGCCCAGAGAAGCTGTGGGTGCCCTATCCCTGGCAGTGTCCGAGGCCAGGATGGATGGGGCTCTTGGCAAATTTGGATAGTGGAAGGGGTTCCTGCCTATGGCAGGGTGTGGAACAAGAGGAGCTTTAACGTCCCTCCCAACCCAAACCATTCTGTGATTCTATGATTGGCAACAACTTTGCTGTTTCTCTCCCAAAAACAGTTAGCAGAAAAATGAATGCAGGCAGGATGAGAAATAGTATTTAGGATCTATCCCAGAGATGACTTTACTCTGTCCATAGTTAAATTAACACATAGCCAGTGATGACATTCAAATCTCCTTTGCGAAAGGAAGAACTCAGTAGTTCTGAAGCACAGTATCACAATACTGAAAGCTTGCTTAGTTTAATGCTTAGAAAAAAAAACAAACCCCAAAACATGATGTCACTAGAGTAAGTGTCCCCCTGAAGAGCAGGGGTGTTTTGACAGGAAAGACAGGAATAGGGGAGAGCGAGTGCAGAGCCATGTGAGAGAGGAAATGGGGTAAAGGGCATGGAGCTCACCTGGGAAGGAGTGGGAGGGCATTGGCAGAATAAGGAGCATCCAGAGATAGAAGCAGGTGACTTAAAGGTCTATGATACAAGGAGATGGTGAGGAAAAAGGAGCAAAGAGGCTGTGGAAGAGAAGAAAAGCCTATCAGCAGAAGAGACAGTGTGACAAGAATCAAAGAAACAAAGTCTTCAGGCTGATGTTTCCTTTACTTGTGCACGTGACAGCCTTAGGAGACTGCTCCCAAATGGGACACATTTTAGACCTTTACATGAAATCAAAAGAAATTTGTTTCAAAGGTGTTGCTCCTTCTGCACCTTTTTCAGTACAAATCAGCTGTGCAACCATTGGCAACACCGTCCTCCTTTAGAGGAAAACACAAAAAATGTTCAGCCTAAGCACTTGCAGAGACTGTACCATCATATGGACAGCGGCTATAACGGGAGGATATCTCCTTTGTCTGCAGCAGGTGGTTTATGTTTGTTATCTTGTAAAATTTATGTACATTGAATAGGATTAATAATTTTAGAAATGGGATTGTGCTTTTAAACCTGCTGGGCAGCAGTGGACGCAATGCAGCAGTCATCCAAAACTTCAGCTGTGGTGAGTGTAGCACTGGGGCCAATATTCCTGCACTCCTCCCTCCAAACAAATGGAGCACAATGGAGCACGGGAGCATGGGAGCACCTAGTCACCTATTCATTTTCTCACATATATATTTTTTTCCCCATATGTTCAAACAGCAGAGTTCACTTCTAAAACCATGGGTGAGCAAAGAAAGTGTTTCTCATACCTGTAGTGGCTCTGGGACAAACCTAAGAGAAAAGAGGTGCTAATTATTGGCCCCTCTTAAATATTACAAGACACAGTTCCAGGCCCATGGCAACCTTTTAATGCAGTGGGTACAAGGATCTCATTGAACTAGCTGGCACCACTTCAAATAAATCAGGGTTGCATCATCACCAAAGACACACAGATCAAGAAAACTTTTTGTATTTCGTCTTTATACCCAGTCTGACAGTAGGGAATCCAATTATCTTTTTTCTGAAGACAATTAAATTAAATCAAAAATAATTCTGGACTTTTTGCTGTGAAATTTGCATAACAATTTGTGCTTCTGCTGCAGGCATCTGCTTTTCTAAAATGTATTTTATTTGAATGACAAAGGTCAGCACAGGGAACAGATCCAGAAAAGAACAAAAATGTTTTCACAGAGGTAGACAGGGAAATTGCGGAAGTACTTCCCCTCATACAATGTTAAAGACTGAACTCTTTTGTTTAGTCGTGTCACACAGCTTTCATTTTCAATAATTCAGAGAAAATAAAAATGTCCAAAAATCAATTTAAAAAGACAAACCACTGTATAATTTTTACACTGTGAGACTAAATGTAATCCCAGTTTCAAATCCTGCAACTTCTCCAAAATAGACTTAAGTGCACTTAGTGGTCTTCCTAAATCTTGTAGCAGCAGGTGAATAAGAATCACCTTGAATAGTACCAGTGAAGCTGATCTCTCAAGCTGTACCTTTGAAAATATGCCTGTTAAAACTCCTTCTGGATGCTTGGTGCCCATGGGTCAGTATCTAACCATGTGTGAAAGTCAGGTACAGGTAACCTTTGCAAAGCTGCCTGATGTAAATGTGTCTAACTTCATCTACATTCTTGAGGATATAGTTTGAAATCTAATTTCAAATTATAAATTTGAAATTATAATTTGAAATTTATTCAATTTCAAATTGAAAAGTAATTTGAAAATCATATCTCTTTGCATTAGATCTTATTTAGAGGTAGGCCACAAATGTGTAAAGGAAAATAAAGGTTGTCCCCAAATAGAACTTGAAGGACAATGTCGCTGTTGGACACGATGTAGAAGTGTGGGCTTAATGCAGTACACTAGAACAAGTTGTTAGGAAAAGGGGTCTTTATTTTTTCAACTTTTCCGTTTTTATAGGGTTTTACGCTACAGGCTTAACATGATTGGTTAGGGGAACACCACCTCTTGTCCCATTGGTGGGACAAGAGAAAAACACACTATCTACAGTTATACAGAACTGTTTTGAGAAAGTAAAACGGTTTACAAAGATCGTCCTTGAGCGAGAGAGCTCTCAATAAACTTTCTCTTGAGAACAGATCAGCCACTGACAGGCTGTAATTCTCTCAGGCTCAGAGAAATCCGGTCCACAGACAAAAGACATATAAAATGATTAGTGGTTGGCTAATTACGTGCCGTTTTAAGCAGAATATTTTAGTAGACATGATCAAAGGATTGGTTAATATCAAGTTTATAAATTCAGATCAATTTTAATATAAAGTCTTGAGATACTGTACAAAATTCCTCTACAAGTCTATCAAAGCATGCATAATCATAGGATGATTTGAATCTTTAATGAAAGTTGTAAGAATTAATATGGATTTAAAAACTGACTGTAGGAGTAAACCATCATTGCACTGAAAAAAGTTCTGTCACCACTGAAGTGTGCTTACTAAAGTGAAGGACAGGAAGAACATCTTTATTCCTGATTAATTTCTTTTCCCTCATTCACTGTCCCTCTGCTACAACTTGGAGAGTTTATGCCTTTGGAATGCAGCAGACTGCCCCAAGTGTTATGGGCTTGGATGTCTTTCCTAATTTTTCCCTCTGGAGATGGAATGTATCTGGGGAACCTCTTGCTTCCTTGACAAACTGCACGATTTGATTGCTGGTTCCTGCATAACATAAGAAGTTTATAAGATCGGTGCATTCTTTTTCTTTCTTTAAACAAAAATAAAGTCAGTAAAAATTCTAAGGAAAATGCCAAATTCCCAGGAAGTAAAAACTTCTCCATTCTGTGTGTGCATATGTGTGTGTGTGTGTGTGTGTGTGTGTGTGTGTGAAGTTTAATAGCTTTAAATAAAGTGACATTTTTAATGCTTCAAGGCATATATGTATTGCAATAGGCTTTATTATTTTGGAAGATGGAAGTGTAAAGAAAGAAGCTCTAAAAAACAAAGCAAGAAAGGTAAAATGATGTTACACTGAGTAGAAAATATTTGCATTTCATCTGTTTAAAAATAAGCTGTTAAAATGCATTTTGTGGCTGTTCACATGTCAGCCCGGACAAAGGAAGCGAAGATGCCATCTTCCTGGGAAAGCAGGTTCTCAGGAGTATCATATTCCAGGATGTTCCCTCGCTTCATGACGATGACCAGGTCTGCAGTGAGGATGGTATGAACCCGGTGCTGCCACGAAGGAGAGCAAATAGAGGTTTTCATTTGGATAATTGTCACTAATGGGCCTCAAGCAAGGCAAAACCCATCAGGGAAAGGCTGTCCTTGTTTACAGTGATATTTGGAATAGATCCTTGTACTTTAACCTGAAGAGATCTTCAATTACTTGACAGCCTCTGCCATCAAGCCTGAAAATACTTAAGCATGAACTTAACCTTTTGCCATTATGGGCAGCACAGATGTTGGAATAAATCCTATGGCTCCACTGAAACACATCTTCCCCTGTGGGAAATAGGGATGAGAAGCATCCTGCACTGTCAGATGGCTTAGAATCCTGTTCTGCTCCTTGTTCTCTGCACCCCAGCAGTCTGCTCTCCATCTGGGAGAGCAACAACCCCTGGGCTGTTGCCTTCTGCAAATCCCTCTGAGATCTAATTTGAGTGTGCTCCAGGCAACAGTATAATCCCTTAGGCTACAGGTTTGAAATCAGTTTGTGTTTAATTTGAAGGACATATGAATACAGCCAGTCATAGATGGGATGACCTCTTAAAAGTGTGATATTTCGCTACACAGGCAGAAAGTCAGAGATCACTTCATGGGCTGGATTCCTTTGACATGGTAGTTGTAATGTCAGTTGCATGTCTAAGATTTAGGTATGATCAACATAAATAGTCATGAAATTAAACAAACCCGGGAACCACACAACAAGCACCTTCTTGCACTGTCCTCTCAGAAGCTGTGCAGTAGAAAGGAAGCAGAGTGAAAAGAGACTAAAGAGGTAAAAATAACTACCAAAGAGCCAGAAGTCCTGTAAACAGCGTGGACTGAGAGAGTCTACTTGTGAGTCTTCACCAAAGTGGTGAACAGGCCGTCCTCTTTGAGGAGTAAGTTTGAGGCAGTGTCACATTCAACTAGAAAGCCCTCAGAAAGGACTAGGATAATATTGGCATCCAAGATGTGAGACACGCGATGCTGGAAAAAAGAACAGAAAAACAGGTGGGTGACGGAAGGATCAGCTGTGAATGAGGAGAGGAAGGAGGAAAGATGTGAGGAAAGCTAAATATTAATGTGTGCTGTTTCACTTGGGACACTGACTTTGGAACGGCAAAGCCAAAGAAAAGTGAGATTCCAGCCAGAAGGACAATACAACATGGAACTGAAGGACAGCAATCTAGCCACCAGAATCTCCAGCATTTACACAGCCAAGAAGTTTGGAGCACATTGTAAATGAGCTGGGTTAAGTGGCTTGCCTGACACAAACTACTCACTGACAGGCTTGAAACTAGAGTCCAGGAAGCCTGACTGTAATCTCTAACCACAGGACTGGATTCCAGACAAGGCAAATGAAACAGCTATTGAGACACGTATTTATCTCATGGAGAAAACCTCTGTTTCTTGACTAATGCTGCTGTCACAGGTGGAAATATTCTTAATGGTATCCACCACATGTCTATGCACATGCATGTATGAACATGCACGGCTATATGGAACTTTTGGGCACTAAGAGTGGCAGGAAAATGGGAAATAACATCATAAACCCCTGTCTGAAAAGATATTATTTTTTGGGGTAATTCCCATTGATTCCAGTTTTTAAAACCTTTATTGTAAACCCAGCTTTTTATTCCAAATTAGAGAAAAGATAACCCAGCTTGAGAAACCACACCAAGTATATGATGTAGATTTTGATACAACTTTCAGTAATGGTTCAAACCATGGTTTCAATTAGTTTCAATTTTTTAGTAAGAATGATTTCAAATATTGTTGGAGACAGTGCAGATGCTGAAGTTCCCTGTAAAGTCTTTGTTCAGATCCAAGTGTTTTAGTTTGATAGCAAGACAATATTTACTGCAAAATTTCAGGTTGATAGTAGGTGTCTGATTTGTTCTGGAATCATGGGAATATTCTGGCCTCGTGGTTTAGCTCTATTTTGTGATGCTTTTAGTTTTAAGTAGTGGTGTTTATCTGGTGAAGAGCAGGGTTAACTGCCTGAGGAATGAGGAAAAAAAGAGCTTTTTATGGCTTAATACTTACTGCTATTGTTACAACTGTGCGGTCAGCAAAGGCAGTCATCACAACCTTCTGCAAGATGTTTTCCTGTCAGAGGAAAAGGCTCATTCCAGTTGCTTCATCCTGTTACATTCTAATTCACATGTTTTCAAGCATATCCCACACAATTTCTTTCCCAGCAGGGAAATGTCACAATTGTGAAAGCAGGGATTCACTAGAGCATTTCATTTTATCCTGAGAGAAACAAAAACACTGCCAGCTTTTTCTGCTACAGAGATCTCACAGCTTTGTGGCTGACACTTAGGGAAGATGCCTTTCTCTTGGCAGATCCTTAATTAGCTAATTGCTGTACTCACTGTGGCCATGTCAATAGATGCTGTGGCTTCATCCATGATGAGGATGCTGCTCTTGCGGACAAAGGCTCGGGCCAGACAGAAGAGCTGCCTTTGCCCCACACTAAAGTTTTCCCCTCCTTCTGTGACCATGGCATCTGTAACAAAATCAGTCCCTGTAAACACTGCACCCCTGAAATGCTGTGCCTGAAAGCTCTGCTTGTGCACTATTCTGGGGCCAAGCAAAATCCCCATAAAAGCCAATAACCATAACCTTGACTGACCAGTGGGATGGAAGGATACCAAGAAAAATGAGCACAGCCTCTTGGGAAAGGAGAAATATATCACTAAACAAACAGTTGGCACAAATTGTTAGGAAATCTTGTGGGTTGCAGGGTAATATCTTAGTAATAAGAAATATACTTGATATGGAAATAAATATGTGAGCTTCCTTCATGTAATGGATCTGAAATTGTAAGAAAAATGCTCCATCAGTGTTTACAGCTCTGCTGGCAGAGCCAGCTTCTGCTAAAGGAGATAAAATTGTTCTTTGTTTCTCCTTACTAATTATCTCACTATGATCATAGAATCATAGAATATCCTGAGTTGGAAGGAGCCCACAAGGATGATCAAAATCCAGCTCCTGGCCCTGCACAGGACAGCACCAAGAATCACACCATGATGCTGAGGTGTTTCAGGATTTTTCCAGACTACATGGGAAACCAGACTATTCTTCAGCTTTTTAATAAGAATATTCTCTCTAGTATGAAGAGAGAATCTTCATTATGTGCCTGTCACTCCTACATGGTGATCCAGAGTGTCAGATGGGATGGATCTGTTTATTTGTGTGCATACATGATTCCGGTATTGGCCCATGACCCCAGAGATTGGTTCAGACATACCAAGGCCTCCTGGCAATGACTTGACCATGTTCTTCAACTGAGCAATCTCCAGAGCTTCCCAGAGTCTGTTATCAGTGCATTTGCATTCGGGATCCAAATTAAAGCTGCAAAGAAAACCATAACAGGAGTCTTGTTACTGCAATTACTTTCAGGTTTTCTGAAAATTTAACACCTTGCCATTGTCACTTGGCAGGCTGAGCAGATGTATTGGACTGAGCTAGGAAGGTTACTTGCCTTTTCCGTCCTCTCCTGTCCCACAGCTCCCATGACAGGCAGGCTGTGCAATGCTGCCTGCCACCCCCTGATGACATTCACCTACCGGATGGAGCCACTGAACAGGATTGGGTCCTGGAGAATAATGGAGAGCCGTGACCGGAGCGTGTGCAGAGGCAATTTGCTGATGTCTATCCCATCAATTACTATCCTCCCTGTATCAAACAACACACAGAACGTGTGAGGGAATTGCACAAAGCCTGTGATCCACAGGTAGCAGGTGGAAAGGTAGAACAGCCCCTCTGGGCTAGTCTCTAGATGATGGCACACTGTCTCTGAGCTCTCAGCACTGCCAGACACATGGGGAAGGTGAATGTATCTAAGAACACAACCCAGCTTATCAGTGACACTGTCACCTTGCTCTTTTCCTTTTTCTTCCCCTCACCCTCCCTTAAGGGAAATTACATGTCTTCCCTTCTATATGATTAATGATAGCATCAGAAGGACAGTTTATTATGGGTCAGTTACAGCCAAACAGAACAACAAGAGCAACTTATGTTGCTGTGCCTTTCTTTGTTCCCCTTGAATTCTATAGTTGCTGAAGACATTTCCTTTGAGAAGGGGAACAATTTCTTTTGCATAATTTATGCAAATTACAGGATACAGGGGATTTGAGATTACAGGGAAGGGATGGGCCAGTAAGGATATGGTAAAGGCTATTTCTATCAGGCACTTTTCCAGTTTTCATGTGGATTGCTTCACTAGGCAGCTGCACTCCTCCCTGGGATGTACCTATGATTAATTTCATCAGTTCTCTCTCCCAACAGTGAGAACTTAACCATGAACTGGCAGGCACATGGATATTCAGAGCTTTGTATGTGTGTCCCTTCTGTCTGTTCCCTACAAAAAACCATTTTGTAGGTTGCTGTCTGTGTCCCTGTTCCAGTGGAAGATTTCATCAGCCGCCTAGCTGGACTACTTCTATTATTGCAGTTTTTATGCTTTCATAAAAGCATGCTTTTATTATATGGTCAGAAGAATCAAGATTTTATCTGTAAGGTGCAAAACCAATTATTTTCACACTTCAAGAAATCCAAATCAGGTTATAGGACTTCTTCTTGAGACATTGGTGGTTGCATAAACTTAAGCAATTCCTTTTCTTCACAAATGTGGGTTAGCAGAAGATGAGGTAGAATAAGGAGGGAAAAATTAATATGGCATGCCTGGGGAATAGGGAGATGCATATTTGAGAGAAGCCATGGTGCTCAAGGAAAAGTAAAGATGAGATGAGAGGACCTAAGGGAAAAAGTAAATTTGAAAGGAGTTGGGAAACTGGGAACAGATTAAGGGATGGCCAAGCGAAACACAAGAGAAATGAGAAGTTGTTTGAACAGAGGGCAAGAGAAGGGAAACACTACAGATCAAAGCAAAAGTAGGGAGATAAAATGGGACAGATACAAATTTAAGGAGATAATGAACGCTTAAGGAAGAACATGAATGAAATTTTGGATCTAGTAAAGCTACTTGAAATCTTATTATGTAACTTTTATTAGAGTCAGGACCCTACCCAGAAGTGGACCAGCATGGAAACTGAATATGGGTCCAGCTGGGAGAGGGATGTTCACAAAGGATAAACAGAGTTTGATTAGAAAAGGCTTAGACATTCCCATTGGGAAAAATCAGGGATACAGAAGAAGCAGACAAAAAAAATATACAGAAAGAAAACTTAAGTAGAAGGAAATTTCAAGCTGGCCATAAGAATGGTTATTATTTCTTTGCAATATTTATAAATCCAGGAATCCTGGTCATGAGTCAGAAGCCTGTGACCATAAAAACATATAGGCACAGAACCACAACAAATGCAAATATTAGCTTCATCAGGTTCATTTATCCTCCCACATCTTACTGGGCTTTCCCTGGAAAACATTCCATGCACAATGGCTAAATTAGAAACATGGAAGTTTTTGAAACAAAAAGATTACTTTCCAGTGGTTTTCTACATTCCAACAACAACATACACGTATCTGTATTATAAATGCTGAAATGCAGTTCATGCCAATTAGCTGAGACAGTTAAATGCTGCAGGAGTGATAATATAGCAACATTTTTCCAACCCTTGAGTCAGATTCTGCTGCAGTTGTGGGAAAGCGCAATAAAATTTTAAAAAAATCAAGGGAATGGACTAGTTTCTTCTCTGCTCTGCTAATATTTTGACAGCTGTAATAAGTTAATGCAGTTATTCCTTAGGGAAACATTTAGACACTCCAGAGAGTTACATATTTTTTATCCTGTCTCAAACTGTGCATATTGTTTTGTCAGACCATATGCAAAATGTTGTTTTTTTAAAATTAGAAATACATTCTGTGCACAACATTTCCTGGAAGAACCACGTGCTATTCACAATAGGGCACTTTGTACTTTGAAGGATCAGGCATAACACTTCTAATCAAATATCTTCTGAGCTAGAGAACCAGGTTATAAACTATCAAAAAGGCACCTTGCTTCTTCTGAGGAAATAAGTGGGGAGCAGGTGAGGAGTGACAACATATTCCGGAGAAAACTGACCATCAAAAATGTCCACCATTCTGAAGAATGCCAAGGACAGGGAGGATTTGCCGCTGCCAGTACGACCGCAGATCCCAACCTGCAAAAAAATGGAGAATGTCACTTACAGAGTATTCACTTACATACTCCTTATTCCTTACTTACACCTGAAGTTCTTTTGGGAAAGCTGCACTGGATTGTGCTACTGGTGAGCAGAAAGATCCTTTCCAACGGCAGGTGGCACACCAGGGAAAACACAAAACAGCACAGCAAGCACACTCCCTTTTTCTGCCTCTCATCACAAGGACTTGTCCCCAGAGCATTTCAGCATTTTGACCTGGATGCCATTGACACTCTATGCTGAAATGTGAGATACTCTTGTGTTTTTACCCTCTAATTTATCTCTCATTTATGTTTACTTGTATGCAAGGAAAATGGACTTGGAAAGGCATGGGATACTCAGAAGGAAAATTGATCCCAGCCAAGAATAAGCTTTTATCATTGCAAGTTCTTGGTCTGTGCCCAGGGACCTCAGAGAGGACTGTAAATATATATATCTGCCAATGCAAGCTGTTGATCTTGTTCTTCTGCCACTTTATAAAAAAAAGCTCAGTAATGAAGGATATGCACAAGAATGAGGATGATGGGCAATTGTTTGATATGGTACCTTTTGTCCTGGTTTGATATAGGCCTTCACATGCTTCAGAACAGGCTTCAGGTTGTTTTCATAGCGAACACACAAATTTTCAATCTTGATTTCCCCCTCCTGGGGCCAGTCTTTGGGGACTTGAGAGGGATCTGAAATAGTTACAGAAAAACAAACTGAAGTAAGTGCTGCCAGAGGGTCACCCTTTACAACAGTCCCTTTTCCCCCTGTCTCCTGCCTGGCCACCATCCTTTAAGCCAATGGGGAAATGGAGCCCCAGTTCCCTGCCAAGGGGAGGCTGAGCTGGGAGATGTCTGGCAGGCACTTGGCTTCCAGATTTCCACACACAGGGAGAGAGGGCAGATACTAAAGCATCTCTTGGCACTGCAACAGGGAGAAGCCAAATGAGCAGAGAACGTGGTGCCAGGGCAGTTTTAGCATGGCCTTGGGTCAGTGACAGGCACAGGAAGGGCAGCTTGAGGAAGGAAGTTGTTACTGCCACACAATGTGAGCTGTTGACATTATCACAGCTAGTGTTTCATCCTAATTTGCAAATACACAGCAGGTTTTGTGTCTGGACTAAGGAGCTTGGCTTTCCAGGGAAGCTTCTTGACCTATGAGTCTTTTCTTGCACTTCAACCACTTTTAAATAGAAATCGAAGCCCATTCAAAGTGTGTGTGGAGCACAAATTCTGATGTGCAGCTCAGAGAAGAGTTGCTGAGGTCTGATTGCCAACATGGCCTTATCCTGTAGTCCCCATCTGCTACAAAGATCAGAGATTTTGAAGCATGTGACATTTCTAATTTTTATCCTTATTTTTGCTTCCTAAATAACTTACATGGATATTTTGCTCATCTCATCTATAACTGTGGTATTTTCTGATTGTACTACAGGGTCCTGCTCTGTCTCCCTGGAATTCAATAGGATTTTTTTCATGTTGACTATCATGAGTAACATATTTTCATAGCTTATTCTAGCTATCCTTGTCACTCACACCAGTGGCAGTTACTACAGCTCAGTGAGAACAGATTTTGGCCAGAGAGGTGTGTACATTTTGCATGACCAAGTCTACCATTCTTTCACATTACCATGTAAAGCCCCAAAAAGAATATGAGCAATACCCAGGTAGCCTTCATAGTTCTCTGACTCCATGTTCAGGAAGCTGTGTACTTTTTTCACTGCACCCATCTGCACTTCCAGATCAGCCAGATTCCTCACTACCCAGTTCAGGTAGTTGGTTATCTGCATCACAAAATGAAAACAAGCGCAGGGTTCAGCCTTCTTTCTATCCATCTGCCCACTTGGAAATAAAGTTTAGTACATTTTTGAAAATCTTTGGCCTGACTCAACATAGTGAGTCTTTTTAACATTACATCAGTTCAAGACTCAGTGCAACAGCATCAAATCCATAAGAAGCCAGTCATACTCCAACACAATTAGCCCTAAGACACCAATTTGGAGCTTGGTATTCTTATCCTTGTTTTTTGAAGAAGTATGGAAATGTACCTAAACTCTGACTGATTGAGGGAATCTCTTGTTTTCAGCATCTAATAATCAGAGCTGAAAGGTGTCTTCTTTAAGCACACAAGCACAGAAAACAATCAAAATTGGAAGTGCTGTATGGAAATATTTTCTATTATGTATATTCTAATATTTCAAAGACTGCAACTAGAAATTAAGAAAGTTCACTGCAAATATATTGAAAAGATTTTATGATAATTTCATTTCTGCATATTTAGATAATCCATTTCTCTCTGTGAAAAATATGAGAAGTTTTTAGTTTAGAAATATATGAGGGAAAAAATGTGTTATCAGTTCAGCAATATTTTCTTCCAGGTTTTTATTCTCATTTGCAATGAAAAGGATTTTTAGTAAAATCCTTTACTCTATAGTAAAGGTATTACTTTTAGTAGATAATCATTGATTATTAGTTCTCTAACAATACTCAGTAGCTTACCCAAACTCTTTTCTAGGTAGGACTTACTCTTTAAGGCTGAAAATTGTAAATCTGTTTCCTAAGTCTGTGCTTAGGTTCTTCTGTAAAAAAGAAGAACTGATCTTATTAGGAAGCGTTGATTGCCAAGGACCTTTAATACTTGAGATATATTATGTACCAGAATGAAATATTAGAAACTTAAAAATAAAAACACCCTTTGCATAAATGTATTCAGAGAATGGCTTTGCCATCTTTTTTGGTGAGTGCCAAATAAGGACTTTATTAAGAATAAATCACCCAGTCTCACTTCTTTACCACTAACCTAATATTGATGCAATAAGCAAACAGTAAATAATTTCCACTGAGATTCAGCAAAAATTGTTGTTAATTTAGAGGACTTGGTTGCTTGCTTTGTCCTAAAGATTGAGTTCTTAACAGGGTACTCTCTTCTTTATGTACAGAAACCTGCTTATTTGGCGTCCATCTTTTGAGTTAGGGAGTTAGAGAAATGGGAAAGTTTGCAGATAAACAAAACAGTGCAGAACTCCTGCTTGCAGTGGCTGGATGCTATCCTACATCTGGCAGATTTGATAACACAGCCTGGCATCCAAAAAGCTCTGCCCACTATCTCAGGCTTCATCACAGTTGTGAAAAGGAGTTGGCAGTGTTTATAGAAGAGCAGAGAATAAGCTCAAGATATCCACTGTAAGCACCTTGGTGCAAACAATGTGCTCTCATCCAGGTCCAAATACCAGTCCTCTCTCAGCTTCAAAGAACAATTATTAAAGGAAAACCAATGTCAGGGGACACAGATAATGATCCAGCTGCCTTCAAAAGTTCTTCAGAGTTGTTGTGGGGTAGGAGAGAGACAGGTGATCACTTGGTGCCTACAGCTCTTCACCTGTTGTGCCAGACTTTAGCATGTGCCCATTTCACATGAATGAACTGTTTGCAAACACAGGCTAAAAACAAAGAAGCCAAGGATGATGCAGACATCCTGGAGCTTCCAGATCTCTGCTAATGAAGCAGCATTACCAGGAATGTCTTCAGAGTGAAGCTGAAGCCCTGGGACTGATTCTCAGTTGTTGACAGATTACCACACTGTTGCAACAGCAGCACAGAGGGAATCTAAGGTCACTCTAAGGCAACTGCTGAGGGCTTTCTGTGGTAGTCACGGGCTCCCCAGCATTTATGTGCAAAGACAGATCTCATGGTTAGACCCACATCTTTATCCCTTCCTCCTACCAGTGCTTCAAAGCAGAAAATTTTTTGCCATGCCAGCCATGGTTTCTAAAGTTCTTCCTGCCTCTATCATCATCCTGCCTTTGTCCCCACTCTCGTGGTTCATTCAGTAATATTTCATCCCCACTCTCATGATTAATTCATGAATACTTCTACTCTCTGTAGTGATTGTCATTCACTCTGTGCTCTTTGATGCACACTTAGCCTCTCTTGCAGCCAGGTACACTAAAATACTGTTCCTTCTCCTCACTGCTAATGACAGTAGCAAAATGAACCAGCTGCTAGACTACCACAACCTTGTCATCCCTAAGTCCATCTCCTCTGCATTTCTACTGTTACCTGGCATGATGAACCATGCCCACAAAGGTCCCAGTCCCCATCTATTCATAATTTCATGGACAATCTTGGGCATCTCAGTAATTTCCCTCCAAGGGCAAAGCAAATAATTCTGTTTCTTCAGCAATTATTTTATTTGGTCTTTGGTTAAAGAATACCCAGATGATGACAATCTGTATTTCCTGGAAGGTTTTGCCATGTAGAAGTGGAAGCAGCATTGTGTTGTACAAAACAGAGTGCACAGCAGGTCCTCTTATGCATTTTTAATTTTCCTGCTCCTCTTGGGAGCATACAGGGCCTGGGAATGGTTGTGTTTTTTTAAAATTGGCTCATAAAACCTGAAGCAAGTCCAAGTTGCCCTGAACTCTCTCAGCTTTGGCTCAAGTCCATTATTTGGAGGATTCTTTTTTTCAAGATTAAGAAAGCTGGGAGATGACCATGTACACATAAAAATATTATAAAATTATGTGTTGGTCTGGAAGTTCTTACACTTGGCCTTGGCACGTACCGTCAGAGCATACAGGAGACCCAGCCCCACAAACCCCGAGTGTGGCCCTTCAGTGATGGAAGTGACAGCAGCAGTCAGGACAATACAAGCACCCAGGTAATCCTGGAATGAGAGACAGGGGAACAAAAAAGGAAAAAATGCAACAACCAGAGCATTTCTTTACCTGTGGAGCAGTACCACTTTACAAAGAATTATTTATATAATGACACCTAGCCCTTAATTTTGGTTTGATTTTTTTCCCTGGAAGAGGTCATGGTTGTGATGCCCAACCTGAAATACATAAAGCAACTTGCTGAACATTAGTGAAAAAGGCCAGTAATTGCTGTAAATTCATTTGGGCTAGGGTATCCCATGGTGGCCACCCCAAAAAGAGCAGGGATCAAAAAATCTACTGAGCATATTAAAAAAAAAAAAAAATCATGCGAAGGATATAACAGTGACACCCCTAATGCCCACCACTAAAACAAATAATTTCCTCTCTCTCCACTCTCCTTCAGGTCTTCTCAAATATGGGTTTGCTCTCTCAAAAAAGGAAGTATCGTTGACTTCATGAAGTCCCAGAAGGCTTTTGGTAGAATTTATACAGATCATGCACATGTTTGATTGGCAGAAGCTTTACAGGAGCTGGAACCCATTTTCTTGATGTTTATCTCAGGTTTGAAGTATATGCCACATGTCATCTCATGGAGTCAAGGTGCTGATTAATGGGATATAGTTGGTATTCCCATTCTCCCACTGCTGCCTGCATTATATTTACTTTGGATTACATTTTCCATTAATTTTTCTCCTCCTGTCCGATATTCCTGTCAGGAATCTTTTCTTCTGATATTTGAAATGAGGGCTGCCCAGTTCATCTGTCTAAAAAAATGTGTTGATGAGCAGAATACAGACTCGAATTTTAGAGGGGAATGGATTCAAACTGTCACAGGGCAGGTTTAGATAGGCTATCAGGAAGAAGTTGTTCCCTGTGAGGGTGGTGAGGCCCTGGCACAGGTTGCCCAGAGAAGCTGTGGCTGCCTCAGTTCTGGTAGGCCATGCTGGATGGGGCTCTGAGCAACCAGGGCTAGTGGAAGGTGTCTCTGCCCATGGCAGGGGTTGGAACTAGATGGGCTTTAAGGTCCCTCCCAACCCAAATCATTCTGTGATTCTGGGACTCTGTGACTCACACCTATGGAGCATAATGGTCTTCAGTCTTCATCATCAGCTAGGACAGGACTTAACAGCTGCTATTAAATCCCACAAACTTTTTGGTGATCTTAGTACCACTGTACCACCCTTAGGCAGGGCTATGTCAATGCACTATTCCTTGGCAAGACCACATTATTTCTAATTCACCGAGGAAGTGAGGTGTATTCATGGACCAAATTCATTCGGCATGTAAGCAAGTGTAAGACTGTGAGACACTAAGAGGCTTATTCCAGGACTGGCTGTTGCTCTGTTATTTATCTGTCCTAGATTTGGAAGCAATTTCAGCTGATCTTGGATACTGTAAGAAGCTGAAAGCTTTGAGCACATCATAAAAATATGGTGAATAACTTTGTTGCTCCAGCAGGAAAAGAAGGTGACTATACAGCCTTTGATGTGAGGATTAATCATGCCTGTTGCTATTTATGTCCAGCAGAATCAGGCCACTGCTCTGTTTATTCACTGCTCTTTCTGTTTCAGATGAATATGGGAATCACAGTTACTTTGCTTGCCTTTTCTTGACTCGCAGATCAGGAAAGTCCCTCATAGAGAACCCCTACAAAACCCAGGAGCTTACATCACTGTCAGTGACTGCACTGTGCCCTGCTGTCATTTTCTTTCTGGGCCTGCTGTCATTTTCTTTCTGGAGTCTAGTTCTGCTATCTTGCATTATATCAAACAATAAAATCCCAAACAGTATGGCTCTGCAAAGGTTTCGCTTACAGCTGTGGGATGAAACCTGCTGCTGGAGAGGTACTTCAATACCTGGGAGATCAATGTGCCTAAAACAGCCCTGCCAGAAGGATGGTACAGTTCACAAAGCCACTGAAAAGCCACATTCTGCTTTGAAAGCAGTTCCTGCTGTGGTCTGTGGATGCTGCACAGTAGTAGAGAAAGTCTTGTTTGAAGTTTTGTAAATGTTTGTTCTTGCACTGCCTTCAGACTCTAGACAGCACAGCAACAGAAGATGAGGTAGACTTGTATTTTCTTACTCCTGGCCAAGAAAGCTGAAAAAACCCTCTGGGTTTAACATAACAATCCTGATCTATTTTAAGGAACTGAGTGTATAATCTCCTTGCGAGATTAATACTCATTATCTTCTCTGCATCAGGCAAAGTCTCTGTTTGCTTCCAAGGTTTCAAAACCATGGCTGGGACAAAACTGAACGTACCGTCCTGACCTCCAGCCATCTGTTGGCAGCTGACAGAAATAAGTAGGCAATGTTGTTCGTGTCCGTCAGCTCCAGCATACGTTGTTTAAATCTGGCTTCGTGCCTGGCAAGACCAAAGTTCTTACATTACAACACATAACACTCTCACACACAAAAGGGTGAAGCATTAACTCTGTTCTGCCTTCCCTCCTCCCAGCCCAAAACTTTTTGCCCCTCTGTTTTTGCTGGTTTGGGTTAAAAGCTCTGCCCTAAGAACACATATCTGGTGCCACAGCTCCCCATAGCCGGAGCAACAAGTGGAGTGGAGAGGGATTTGTGTGACAAGCAATTCTGTTGGACTAGGGTTTGGACCAGGGTTTGGACCAGAGACTGTCCCCTCAAAGAGATTGCAATGCCAGGGTGCTGGGACAGATGTTGTTCCCCAGAGCTGATCCACTTTTTATAGCTGTGGATTGTAGTCCACTCCTCCCACAGATGAGAGCTGTTGTGTACCCTCAGCTCCTCCTCACAGGCTACTAGCAAAGGCAGAGGGCTCACCTGTCAGCTTAAATCTGATTTCAAAAGTTACCTGGCCAGCTTCAGGGCCCTTCAACAGGGATGACATCCCTAAGGTTTCAACTAATACGGAAGTAGAGTGATCTGTAAATCAAATCTTTCATCTACTCACCTAAGCTGTTTTCTCAACCAGTCACACTTTGCCTAAACAACTGGGAAACTACAGTCATGGAATGCTATAGATACTTCTAAATTAGAAAAATGAGTGGTGTTACCTCCACTGCCACTTGTTCCTCTTTCCCCCACACAATTCCCATCACATTCAAAAACCAGTGCAAGGATACCAGAGTGCTGAAAAGTTAAGGTACACTTTGGGAGGGGAGGGGAAAATCTCTATTGGTGCAAGTGTATTAAATTAATGGCACCTTGCACAGTCATATGGAAACCATTTTGTTGTTCCATATTCTATTGTCTGGTGAAAACCCTCACTTGATTAAACCAGCTGAACTTTAGTCAGCAGCTCAGTGTCTGTTTTATATTCCATTTCAAAGTCTCAGGGCCCTGCTGTGAAGCACCTTTAACACCTCTTCTTCCAGAAACTTATTTTTTTACCCTGCTATTTCCTGCTGATATTTTATTTCCCTCTGCACAGCTTGTAAACATGACAAGCAACCTCTCCAGAAGAACTTATAACAGTAATGATGTGGGGAGGAATAAGGATGCACTGACTACTCTGCTCATCTATTTTTCCTGGCAGCAAAACTCCTGCTCTCCTAATGGAAAATCTGACATACTCAGTCTGTGTTTTCATCCATGTTCAGCTCATCTTCTGGACACTTTCATACTTATATCCTGTCAGATGACGTCTGAGGTCACTGAGATTGCTCTCTTATTCAACTGTACTGTTTTGCGTGAGGAGCTGCTCGATTTTATCCTGGAACATACTGAACCCAAACTGCAGAGAATGACTAACAGGACCATCAGTAAATACGAGCTTGCAGACAATAAATGCAGGAGACTTCAGGTTTGGTGGGCAGTGGAGCACAAGCAATGAAATGAAATGGCTTTGATTAGCACCAGAAATCCTGAAAAACTCAATTGTTGTGGCACCCTCAGGTTGCCTTTTGCTCTCTGCCATCCAAGCCCATTGCCTTTTTGTGAGGCAAAAAAAGAGTTGAACCACTCAGAAAGTGCTAAGTTCCTTCATCTTCCTGAGAAGATAACCTCAGGTTCATAACCTTCCTCAGTGATGAAAGGTTACACTGAACCTCTTGAGAAGTACTCAGCATACGTCAGCCTGTAAAACTTCCTGTTTCAATACATCATTCTGTTGATAAACCTAGCTAAAGCATTTCCTGTTGACCACTGGCTCACACCTCTTCAACACAATGTTTTTGCTTGTTCTTCCACAGGCGTTACTGCAACATTCTGTGCTAATAGCTGATGTCCTAAAGCTTAGCTTGAAATGAGGAAACAGCCTTAAGCTGATCAAATAGGTGTGGAAATGGCATTGCAGTGGGATCTGCTCTGCTTTGGAATTCTATGTAGTGCAGAATGGGTGCAAGGTGCGCTTACTGGGAAAAAACCTCAAGCTGGCATTTTGACAGAGTCATAACCATAATGGAGTGAACATAGGAGAGTCTGGCCAATATTTCCTGTAGTAGAGAGAAAATATATGCATGGAAAGCTGGCAAAACTCTCTGGTTCTTACAGAATTTATTTTTCAGTTTTGATTAACAAAGGCAGGTTTTACAATATTAAGATCAAGTTCTGTTCTCCTGCAGTTTTCTTGGAAAGTCAAGTTGCACACTGCCTTTCAGTTGGAGAGTGTCATAATGATGTCTCCCTGCTTGGGAAGTGGGTTAAACATAAAACTGATTCAGGAACGCTTGTATATAGCAGGGGGTTTGAAGGGTCTGTGCCTCTGCCTGCTTGGCAAAACAGAGCTCCCTGCTGTCCAGGTTAGAGGCATGATTAAAATAGACTCATTAGAAGTTTAAATGTCATATCCTAAAAATGCAATAATCTTTAATTCAATGGAACACCAATACATGCGTTAATGAAAATACGCAAAATGTTTAAGAGGCATGGGAAAGCAACAAGAAAAAGAAAAAAAGATCTATTCTCTTTACTTGAAATATCTTAACAACATTCTTAAAATTCAACAGTTTGCCCTCAAACGTGCTCCAAGGAAGCTGAACAGGCCAGCCTGACCCCCAAGCCCCTCTCTAATAATTTGTTTTACAAATTTTACCCGAATGCTCTGATGGTGGTAAGGCCTTCAGCTGTCTCAGAGAAGTGACACAGCAGAGGGAGCTGGGTGCTGTCATCAAGTTCCTGGAGGTCCCTGGGTGTACAAAACACAGCAGATGTCCACCACCATGTAAACATTTCTGTCTGCAGAAATTTCGCTGCACAGCAGACAAAACAGACATTTTATGTATTGCACATGTTCTTTTCAGGATCACACAAAATTTCTATAGTACACTGGCATGGGAATATAACATTCCTTTTTTGCCACAGGAGCCTTTGAATCATCTCCCCTGCTGCCCTCTCCATCTACTTTTGGTCACTTTAAGCTTCTATTTTCCCCCCAGGGATAATGACACTATCATGTCTCTCCTGGATAAAAACCTGCTATCCATTTTAGACAGATCCTACTTACCTTTTATTCTAATTACATTCTATTATTACATTCTATTAATTCTATTAAGTAGAACAGATCCTAATTATCTTTTATTATATATGATAGATTTTGATATATTAACAAAATTAATTTAAATTCAAAACCATTGATTTTAAACTTTAGAGCATGTGATTTGTGACTCTTAGGTCAGATATATAATAGGGTCTGTGTATCAGGAAGTTAATATCTTTTATGATAAGAGCTGGCCTAACAAAAAAAGCTGTATTTCCACGTTAACCTGTCCTCATTTTCAATATCTTGAAGTACCACAACATGCTGAAAGTAAAATATTTCTGATGATAGCAGATCTTCTTTTTGTGCTGTTAACATTGGTTGTAGCAGAGACAGCACTGACAGAGAAATAACATGAGTGATAAATTTCCCTAATTACTCAGCAATGGAACTTCCAAAATCTGCATGGAGCAACATTTTTTAAGTCCAAAAGTTCCAGTCTTTCCTTTTAAAAAAGCAACAATTTCCAAACCACAGAAAAAAAATTACATCTTTCTGTAACACTCTGCCATTGGCATAACAGCCAGTTGTACAAACAGAAGAAAGACCAGATCAATAGAGATAAAAACTTGTTATCAAAATCCTGCTAATTTTGCACAATGGATTAAATAGGCCAGGAGAAACAACTGCTTGATGTTGCTGAATGTTGCAGTGCGCAGAACAGAATTTGCTGCTGATCTTTTGATGATAAATGTCTTTCAAATTTATGATGAAAAATACACAGAAGTTTTTGAAAAATGTAATGGAAAATACAACAAAAAGTGCTGCAAGAAATACTGCAAATATTTGCATTTCTAAATATTAGTGAGGCTTATATGCCTGCAAAGGAATGCATACAAGTGAGTTACAAATACTGGCTGAAGCTATTCCTTCATCCTACGTTTCCCAAGACTAATTTTTAGGGAAATAAATTGGATGTTTGAATTTCTACTGTCCATTGAAAGAACATAAATCACATCTCAAGCGATTTAAAAGAGTTTAATTTAACAGAATAATTTGAGAGTAAAAACCAGGTCTCCTGATTTGTCAGCCACCTTAAGATCTGGTGTACAGGCACATACAGCTTCAGTTTATAGGTTTGGTGGGGCAAGAACAAGGTTTCTGAAAAATCTCAGAGAAGTTAAGCAAATTATTTCATATTTAAACATTTCTGGTTTGTGAATTCTGATTACAGATTTTCTGATAAATAAATCTTCTTGAAAGATTTTGGCTGATAACAAAAGACTAATGGATTGAATTTAAGAAAAAACTTCAAATGGCTTACTAAAGATGTTTTACAAAATTATAGAATGAATTTAGCACTGGAAGCATGACTCTTTTTACTGAAAAAATTGTACTCTTTACACTCAGCCAAACCATCCTGAATGCTCTGCAGTGAAAATGACTTGAAAATGGGGCTTTTTTCCCCAATATTAAGGAAAAGTTGTGATTAATGTTAGTCCAGGAAGCTATTTTCTGTTCTCTACTAACCCTCAAATGTCAAAGAGGAGTTTTAACCATATGCAAGCTCAGCTGATTAACAAACTTCATGTTCATCTGACTCTAAAACCAAAAAATCTATTCAGTTGGCGTTACTTCTCCAGATACCCCATTTATAGCCAGGTCAGTTGGAAATATTCCCCAGTGCGTGTCTCAAATGCATGCCTCGGGATCAGAAGCAGGATGCAATGCCCATTTTCCCCTTTTCTGGCTCCTACAACCTCACATTCCACCACAGTTCTTATGTAAAATATTTCATGGAGGAAATTTTCAGGATAGCTCTTTAATACATACTTGGAAGCAACCCTGAAGTATTTCTGGATAAAATAAAATGCTATGCCCAGGGGCACGAGGGCCACAAGGAACCATGGAGTGGCATAGGAGATCATTCCAATGGCTGACAGGCAGAGCAAGGTGGATCTGGTCAGAGACTCCAGTGTGGGAGGGATGTGCTAGAAGGAAATTAAAAACATCCATAAGGAAAAAATCCCTGGTAGCACCACTATAAACCTTTTTCTATAAGAAAAGTGGAAAAATATCACTATGTACTCATTGATATTCTCTTAATATCAGGAGTCTTTCTGTTTCTGCGCATGTCATAGCCAAATGTACAGGGGTTAAAAAATGAATTGGTAGGTTTTTGTTTTCTAAAGGTCAGAGTTTCAAAGATCATGGGGAAATAGGAACAATTTCCACCTCATTTATATATCAGGCAAGGACAAGAAAATTGTTCTTGATTTGCCAGATATTTAGAGAAGTAGAATGCTCTATCTCAGAGTCTCATAATTATTTATTCCACGTTCCCATCAACCTTACCTTCAGGATTATTGTTCATAAAAAATTTTAATGCATAGCCATAGTGAGAGCCTTTCTTCCCCCTGAATGCTCTAAATCCACATGTGCTGCCAGTTACAGTGGAACATTCATATGTCACACCTACTCCCACATATTCAAAGTTGTTATATTCTACTGTGTTTCCTGTTTCTAGCTCCAAATCTGATGTTTTCTTAATCCAGATCTTCAAACAGAATCAACCAGTCTTCATATGACAAAAATTAAGAGCCACTACTTCCTGCTATGTTTATTTTAATGGTTAGCTGCCCTCATTACTACAAATGTGTGTACTTTTTACTTTGAGTAAAAATTATCATTCCCAGAGCCTGGTTTTGCTATGCTTTTCTCTATTGAATATTTTAATACATCATCTTTTTCAGGATCTACATGAAAATTTGCAAATCCAGGACAATAAAACAGAATATATTGATACATCTACCTGATCAATGATATTTGTATCAGCAGAGAAGCGATTTAGAATTAGCCCCAGTGGAGTCATGTCAAAGAACCTGTTGGACAAATTAAAACCAAAAAGTAACCTGTAGAGGAATTCCAGTTTTGGATTAAAAATCCAGTCAGACAGAACACAGAGCTTTGTACAGCTATTGTCTTAAACCAAGAAATAAATATGAATAACATACCAGATTATCTTATCTGCATCCTGTCTAAATGCTTCTTTTGGCACTTTCCCCTGAAAAAAAACTTCTCTTCCAAAAACCTGCTGGCTTGTGTCCTGAACTTTCCTTCTTGCTCCATCAGTATTTAAGATCCCTTCCAAAGATCACAGCCTGTTCCTGGCTGCTGCTCAGCCTCCTAATGGGCACCAACCCCAGATATTTCATGAAAGCACTGTGACAAATTTATTTGTTATTCAGGCATCCTTTTGGCCATCCTGCTGCCTGTGAGACCCTGGGTATTTTGCACAGAAGAAGTCTTGGTGTCCACATGGTTTGACACCATGGCCATTGCTCAGAGCTGGAGCTGGGTGACCTGTAGCCTGAACTGCCCTCAGAGATGTCCTTGACCCCCCCAGCCCTGAAGGGGTGCCAGCTTTCTATAACATTTCAGTCAGATAAAAAACAGGGGCAAAATTTCACATGTTTTCTCATGGAATTTTTTCCCCCTATGATTATCTCACTAATTATTTTCCTTTTTTGAGGCCTTGAAGGAAACAGGTCAAAACCAAGAGCTTTTCCTAGGAGTACCCTTGCCGTCACACAGAAGACAGGTTTTGACCATGTAGCTTTTTAGGGACATCATTTTTGCCGTACCTGATTGGTCCAAGGATGATCTTGTTGAGGAGATGGTGGTGTAGGTTCTTGGCTGCTGTGAGGCCCATCCACTCCACAGTCAGGGATGTGATGAGGCAAAGGATAATTCCAGCTCCAGAGAGGATGCTGAAGACAGCTACATGATAAGCCTAATGGAATGACAAATATATCAGTCCTAGAAATAAACAGATGTTTCTTTTCTGCTAGGAAGTCCCCAAGGTACCTGGTACCCATCAGTTATTATATCATATCTCTTGTATTACTTAATGATATATCATCTTTGGGAAATAAAAGAACTGTGATGGAACTGCAGTGATGGAACTGCAATTCATTAAGTCCACATAATTAGAAATTCTGGCAGTTCTAAGATTCCTCTCTCTATTCTACCCCTCATGAACTTGAAATGATAGCTCTTAGAACTGTGAAGACTTACTATGTGGACAATTACAAAGGATTGTTAGCCAAGAAACTTAGTAGAACTTCTCAAGAATTAAGGCATTTGAGCAATGTTGGAAAGTTCCACTTTATTAAGTTCAAACATCATGAAATTCCCAGAGCAAATCCTAAACTGATTTGCCAGGGTTATAGCAAATTTGAGCCTTCTGAAAGTCTACTAAGTGGATTCCAGTGAGATATTGTATATGAGTCAAATTTACAGCTATAAGCAGATTGTACGTAAGCAGTACAATTGAAGACTTCCAATTTTTTTTTTCTGGCAGGACGCTACTTGACAGCCAGTACTTAGGAAAGTGGGGTCATTGACTTAAAAGAGCACTTATAAAATCCAGATGGAAAAGTTTAATGTAAAGCTCCTTACTTTGAAAGGCCAATTATTTTTCTACTCGCAAATATGCTTCTGTTTCAGTTCTGAATGGTCAAAGAGAATGATAAAATTTGAATTTTCTTCTTTTAACATTAAGAATACATCCATCCTGTACAATAATCTACCTGTCATTTCTATCCATCTGGCTTCTAGATGAAAAGCAAATAATTATTTTAGAACATGTTTTCTTTAATTTTTTTTTTCCTATCAGGCTCCAAGATCTGGCTCACCTTCTCTGTGTTCTTATCCTCATCAGTATTCCTGGCTTCATTTGCATTGTCCATGGATGTCCATGTAGCAAGCCAATAATCTATGGCCACAATAACTGAGTGTTTCAACAGCTTGGAGAAAATCATCAGAAAGAGCAAGAAAAATCCTCCAGAGGTTAGATATCTCCAACAGGTTTTCCATGGCATCTTTGTCCTGAGCCTCAAGACAGTTGACATGTTATCATCTTCATCTTCTTCCTCTTCCTCCTCTGTGACTCAGACATTTGATCAAGTTAGCTTGGATTCAATAACTGTTAAACTGTTAAACAAGTTTACCAGATTCGTTGGATTTTTTTCCTTCTGCTTTGAATACAAATTTTAAAGTAAAAATTCAGTTTGTCATTTTAGACCAGCAAACAGTTCAGACATATTTTCGTAAGACTTCCCCTGTGCTCTTTAAGCAATTCTATAGTTTGCCAATCTTTGACTTGTCACAGTTCTGTTAAGAAAATAATTTTATAAACTAAGTCTTCACTACTTATTATTTAGAGCAGAGATGAGGCCTTTCTCAACATGTTCATCACCTTCTATTATACAGTTAGCAGAGCAATTTGGAAGATTTTAGAAAACTGTCCAAACCTTTCCACCGAGATTCTTCATCATCTGTTTGCATGAAAAAGTTCAATTTTCCCTTCAATCAAGAGTACTAAAAATATATTTGATCACATTCTATTGAAACACAAATGGTGGAAGACTTCTGCTATGGAAAATACATATTTCATAGGTGTATAAAAATGAAATTTAATTTTTTATCCCAGATAATAAGAATATATATATCTCACAGGAATATATATATCCCCTGCAGGCTGCACTTGAAGAAGAGAAATATTGACATGCTCTTGACAGCTACATAATTTTTTTTTCTTTACAATTGTTTCTGTTGCTGTACTTCTGTCTCATCCCTCAATAAATCCAGGCACTGAGTTAACAAATAAATTAACTTGTTTTGATAATGCCCTTACCTCTGTATGATGTTTAGGGAAATATATGGAGAATCCCTTAAACAAGTTATATTGTAAACAGGTCAGAATATTGGACTTTCCACTATTATTTCCAAATGTCATCAATAGAGTCACACTTTGCTGCTAAGAACTGACAGCTATAAAAGTGGAAAGGCAATGAAAAATGGTATTAAATAAAGTAATTGCAAAACAAACCTTCATCTTCATCTTCCAGTTGTGACTTAGATTCTCTGGGGTACATGGCCCTTCTAAGGGTTTTTCTCTCAAGAGTTGTCTGGTCAGCTTCCATATCCTGAAATAATTAGGTTGTCATTATTATTATTAATTAACAATAGGTTTTATTAATTTGACATATAATTTATTAATTTGAGAGCATAGTTGTTCACCAATTGTAGTAGTACTTGTAGCAATCTCAAAGAGACTTTACTTGGTAACTCACAGAATGGAAAAACACAGTATTTTTCAATTTAAATTTCAGAGAATTCAGTTTTGTTCACTTCTTTCCCTCTCTCTGCCATTCTTTCATTCCCTCTCTTCTGGAATAGTAAAAACTTCAAAAATAGTCTTTATAGAATCCTAAATATTCATGGCAATAACAAAATAAAAGGATAAGGGGTACCGCTGGGTTCAACCCTTGCCCCATCAAAGGATCAGTTATGCACATTTCCATGGGTTTCTTGTCTAAGATGTCCTTACAAATAATCCATGATGAATATACCGCACAATTCCTGAACAATCCATTCCAGACCCTAAAACTCCTTACAGGTCAAGAGGTTTTGCCTTAAAGTCAAGTTATAAACTCACTTCAGAAATAGTTTGGGTTTTTTGGAAATTGAACGTCAAATATTTTTTTGAAGAAAAGTCATCCTTGCCCAAATGCTCCTATTTACCTTTTCCAGCTCTTGATCTTGGCGATTCATCAGAGTTTTCCAGTGTTCATACAGCTCAACATCCTTGTTTTGGATATCCTTTAGTGTTCCTTCTCTAAGCACCATTCCATCCTTCATTGCTATGATCTAGAGGAGAAAGTACACAGCACTCAACAACACAGATACCACAATCACTGACCTGCATCCTACCAGATATGTCTCACCATTAGTGACAATACGATTATGCAATTTTCTGTCTTCATTTTATTCAATATTTTATTAATGACTTCTGAAGTTTGCTGGCATAACTCATAAACTGAAACTCATGTAAGTCATGCTTTCCTGCACATGTAAAAAGCATTGAAAAGAAGAGATAGATATAGTTTCAATTAAATCAAAATTCTCCAGGCCTTTTAATGAACAAAAAAAAATCGACATAAATAATGTAAAAATAAAATAGTTCTTCCACTATAAAATCTGTGTTAAAGTGGCAGTTAGCCACATGGCATACAGAATTAAGAAGGGACTCTATTGCAGAGAAAAGTAATAATCTCATTAAATGCTATGGTGTTAACTTCAAGTGTACATTCATGCTTAGCAAATTTTCCCCTGGGACCTCTTCTCTTACCCAGTCAGCATGTGGCAGATATTGTAATTTATGTGTCACTAGAACAAGAGTCCTCTTGTCCTCTTGCAGAAACTTCAAAATCCCTTCCTGCATTAAGTGATCACTTAAGTGAATGTCCAGTGCAGAGAATGGGTCATCCTGCAATCACATCAAATTGAAAAATATTAAAACAGGATACAAAAGTGAGGTTTATTCCTAAAATAGTATTTTTAAAATAGAAAGCATCTGTCTTAACTGGTGTTTCATCTCTCTCTAGTGACGAGGACCCAGTCAGAGAGCTGCACTAGTGAGGTGGAATCAACTGCTCTTAAGTTCACAGCAGTGGACTCAGTTTAATTTTTTTGTGTCTGGCTCTGTGTAGTGCTGGGGCCTCACTGACGGAGTGCAGGAACACCAGAACTGAAATTTTCCATCCAAATTTGAAAATTCTAGGATCCAAAGCCAAACTTGGGCCAAATTTTGATGTGAAACTGGCATGGGAAAATTAAAGCAGAGTTAGCAACTCTTCTCATTTCCTCCAAACTTAACTACAGACCTGCTAGGTCTTCACTTTGAGTGAGTGCGGCTGGATATAAGGCAACATTCAGATAAGGATATCAATATGCAAACACTTTTTCTTCAAGAAGTCTCTACTTAATTTTGAAGAGGCTCAAACAGCCCCTTCATGAACCTCCTGAAATTCCTAATGTGCCTTGACAGTAATAACAGAGAAGGGAAAGGCTGTTCAACTCCACAGCACTCTGCAGAAGAGTGCTGAGCCCACAGACTGTTCATTATGGCTCCTTATTAGAAATCCTGCTGATTTCTGGGACTGTGCTGATAGTAGATCATTACTGAGAACAAGGAGAAGACAATCTGTTCCACTCTTCCAGTGTTAATTTGTGCAGGAATTCCCATCTTCATCAGTCTCCCAGGATGTTTTGATGCTGCCTCTGATGGATGCTTATTTCCAATCTCTAGAATTTGATTTTGGAGTTGAATACAAGTCCCCATAGGTCTTCTAAATATAAACTAAATATATGAAATTACAGTTTTATTACTAACTTTGCACGCTCCATGTGAAAAAAAAAAAATCTTACCAAGAAGACAATGTTGGTGTTCTGGTAGAGTGCTCGAGCAACACAGATTCTCTGTCGTTGGCCACCACTTAAATTAATCCCCTAATGATTCAAATGGATCAGAAATAGGCATCTTTGAATAACCATTATGATAGGCCTTTGAAAATGTGAGGTTTTTTACATTTATATTGTTCCATTAAAAATAAAAAACTTCATTAAAATGCTGCTTCTATTGATAAGCATAGTCCTCATATAATACTAAAAGAAAAGTTATTATTCATGGTAATTATTCAAGTGTAAATTATGAAGAGCTGCTCTGAGCACAGTAGGCTTTTTAGATTGAAAAATTTAACCAATACCAGCATCAAATTCAGCTAGCAAAACATGGGAGACTTTGGTCAAGAAACTCCATTTGAGAAATAGCTGAAGAAGCAGAAGAGATTTCAAATGGTTTTGCAGAAACACTTGGTGAATTACAATTATTTACCAGTCTGGCAGCCCAATACAGACTAGAACTGCGTGACCCCAGGAAGTGTCTTCTTAATACAAAGGCCAAGCAGAGATTAAAGCATTCACATTATTTACCCTTTCTCCAATTTCTGTCTGGTCACCAAATGGTAGTAAGTCAATATCAGGCTGCAGAGAACAGGCATCTGTAACAGCCTTGTACCTGGAAAAACAACGTGGTCATTGCAATTGTTTACCCAGACTCTCACTCTTGCTAACACAAAAACCTCCAGGTAGATGTCACCACAAAGTTTTTTATTGCTCTGTGATGGCTGGATAATTGTAAAAATAACTAGGGCAAAATGATTGTTGAGAATTAATCCTGGAGCATTGTAAATGAAGCATTGTAAAAAAATTACATCTTTATTAGAAGTCTTTATTAGCAAGACTGCTTTTTAATTATGTAAATTATTTGAGCATATTCCTCCCTGTCATGGAGTTGTGTTGTTGGACTCCAGAGTGTTTGAAGCTATTTTCCACTGAGGTTTTATTCTTCCCCCTTTAAATGCATCTTCATTTTCTTTGGAGTGATATTACAGGACAAAGGATCCTTACAGTGCTTCTGGTCTTACCAGATCTAGCAAACCACTTGCAAAATTTAGAAATTTTTTTTGTGAGATTTCTGGGTCTGTAGCAGATGATCTGCTGCTGAGCAGTTGGGATCAGACAATTTGAGTGATGAAATTCAGCCTTGTCCCTTTGAAGGTAGTGAAACAAGTTGATGGATGTAGTGGCTGAAGGATCTGGTCCCTGAAATTTTCTGTATTTCAAGGAATTTGGTCATGATTAGGTTTTATCAAGTCAGAATGGAGTCATACATCTTAGCACAGACTGAGAGGAACAGGGTATTTTTCAGTAATTTCAGTATTTTCAATAACTGAAAACAGAGAGTATTGCCTTTGAAACATCAGCAATTTGTTTTCCTTAAGTCCAGTTACTTTTTCTACATTTGTTAACTGACCTTTTAGAAGGATGGAAGAAACAGGTGCTGGATAGGCACAATAGTAGCTGTTCACCTCAGTTTTCACGCTTCCTTCTCCCATATTTATAAAGGAAGAATTAAGGGCATTCCCTTGAGGCACCCCATCTTCATAAACGCTGTTTTTGGAAAGTGACTGCTCCAGTGACTTGATCACAGCAGGATTAACAAAAAAACTCAGTGTAAACATGCCTAGAATCCCTGTTGCTAAAGTCCTCCGGCAATCTTGGGCTCCATTAAACAACAATAAAAAAAATACATAAGTAGTCTCCAAAGATGGGTTTCATCTCACCTTGGAAATTACACATATGGCTTCAGCTGTATTCCATGGGGAGCCACTACCACTGTGGAATTTCTCACAAACACCTTAGACACATGCTCCGGTTAGAGGAGCAGCTTAACTTAAATCAGAAACCTTCCTCTGAGGTGAAACAGATCAGCTAAATCCACCCCAAGTTTAGCATGCGCTGATTGATATTTTCCAGAAACTATAAACTTCCTCCAGAAGATACCAAAAAACCCTCTTTAAAAGGAACTGCCAGATGTTTTTGCAAGGAGGTGGGTATTTACCTCTGCTTATTAAAGGGACTGCCAAAGATGATGTTCTCCTCCACGGTGGCATTGAGCAGCCACGGTTTCTGAGCTGCGTAAGCCACGGAGTACCTGTTCCTACTGCAGACAGACACAGAGCTTTAGTAAGAAAAAAGCCCTCACACTATGAAATGTCTGATAATCAAGTTTTTTAAACTTAGTGCACCTGAATGTGCACTCAGAAAAATACAGAAAAACACAAGCAAAACAAAGAGAAGGGAAGAGTTTTAAATTTGATGCTTTTGTTAGAACAGCACCCACTCTCTCTCCCCTGATGGCAAAATCTACACTCTAGGTTGTATTCTATTCTACTATAAATGGCTGGTACCTACCTCAATCTAGTAATTGCAATTCAAATCCAAAGGCAAATTATGCTAAGAAATATTAAATTCTTGCAGGAATAGTTATTTGGCATTATTTTTTCTAACAACAAAACAGAGTGAAAAGGCACTGCTCAAATGGCGTTTGCAAACTTGACTTGCTGCTTTCTAAAGTGTAAGATTATATTTTATATATATATATATATATATATATATATTATATGTGGCCACACATATAAAATACTTTTTTCTTAGTGAATATTTTTTCCTTTCAGTTTATTATATCCTCAATGATATTGAAAAAGTGAGCAGTTTAATCACTGTGCATACTTTAAATGTGTCTAAATGCCTGATGATGTTTGTCAATAGGGGTATGAATGTTCTTTACTTCTGGCTGTTTTGCCAAGCAGGAAAAATGTTCTTGTAATTTCAGACGTTTTTCTGAGATGCCCAAGGTGATGTGAGGAAGGAGGTGTTTGCTGGTGTCAGCTCATGGTTCTGAGCACTTATACAATCATGGAATGATTTGGGTTGGAAGGGACCTTAAAGACCATCTTATTCCAACCCCAGCCATAGTCAGGGACACCTTCCACTAGCACAGGTTGCTCTGAGCCCCATCCAGCCTGGCCTTTAACCCAGGGATGGGGCAGCCACAGCTTCTCTGGGCAACCTGTGCCAGGGCCTCATCACACATACCATAAAAATTTTTTTTTTAATATCCAATCTAAACCTCCTCTCTGTCAATGTGAAATCATTGCTTCTTGTCACGTTACTCCAGGCCCTTGTAAAGAGTCTCTCCCCATCTTTCCTTCAGGCTCCCTGCCAGTTCCAGAAGGCCACAATGAGGTTCCTTCTCAGACTCTTTGATGGTGATGCTTCCAGCAAAATATTTGCTTAGCTTCATTCGTAAGCATTCATACTGAGACAGATGGTGCTAAGGCAGGAGAAGCAGCTGTTTAGAAGCTGTCAGCAATATCCCAAAACTTTCAGGATTTTTAGCCATTCATATGCATTCATATGAAACACATCCTCAAGATTATGGAGCATAAAAGCATGGTGTGGCTCCCAACCACAGCTCTGTGTGCCACTACCTCTCTGTCATTTATTACATACTTTTAGTGGAACTTGTTATTCTTTTAAACCTGGACCCAGTGGTGGAGTCCCTGCTTGGCTTCAGCTGGAGCTGAGCTGGCTCCCTCTGTGCCCTGCCCCATCCCTGGTTAGGAACCACAGGGAACCAAGTGCTGGGCAGAAAACTCAAAAACACGTGGGAGGAGACACCTAATGATGCCTCATACCTAAAGATCCTGTCATGCATGACAAGGAGCAAACTGAACTCCCACTGATGTCAGATGGGAGCTGAGCATCTTTCAGAAAAGACAGAGGTAGTGCTTCACTGGCTGGAGAAATGTGGGATCCACTGGATTTGCACAATCTATAAATTAATACCACAGTTAATAATTATCAGCATGGAAAAGAAACATGGAGATGGGCTAAGAGCACAAAGATGAGGATTTGGGGAAATTCTACATATATTAACGAGTGTTTTATGATACATTAGAAAAGAAGTAATACCTTCTGGATGCTTCAAAAGAAGGTTCCATTTCATTTACACTGTAAATTATGGTAAATGACATTTAGTAAGCAGTAAATATAAATAATAACATTTTGTGCTAGTTTTACATACAGTGAACCTGGAATTAATTACATACTTTAAGAACTCAGCATAAGTTTGGGTTTTTATGTTCTTGAAGGGAAAATAAACAAGGTCTAAGCAAAACCATAACACTTTTCTGAATGTGACAGTTTGGTATCTACAAGGCATAGTGGCTAAACAGGCAAATGATGTTGTTAGAAAATTATTTTAAATTAAAGTTGTATCATAAAACCTATTAAATATTAAAATATTAATACTGCCTGGCAAGCAATAAGTTAGCTTCTCCACACAGTTCTGCCAGTGGCCTGCAGAAGTTGGTAATTAATGTCAAATTTCTCCTGGAGTAAAGATGAGCGTTGCAGCTACACTGTAGGATCAGAACACACTTTGAATCTCTTTGTAGCACTAAGGCTGCATAAAGCTGTGCACAGCCCTACAACATGTAGATTTTCCTTGTCATCTTCCACTTCTTAAAGATCATATCCTTAAAAAATATGTTCTGAAGAGCATTCAAATGGCAGCAATGACATGAATGATTTTGCAGTTCCCTCTGTTTGTTAATTGACTTTTGAACAGTGCCAAGAGCCTGGAATGGCAGGCAAAGTAGTTTTGGACCAGCAACAATGCTCATTCATGAGACATGGTGATGCATCACTGTAAAGTGCAAAACCTAAAAGAGCTTATACCAGGTAAATATAAACAGGCATTGGAAGGGAGTAGAAAACTTACGCTAAAACATTCTTTTCCTGACTTTAGAAAAAAGCCATGAACAAACAAATCCTCTCAAGCCTACGGACACTCCAGATGAAACACTTCAATCCTGAGACAGAAATGACTGCCTGACTACTGGATACCAGTAAGTGCAGCTGTACTCATTTGCAGGATATCCAAGTCTAGAAAAGGCATAAAATTTCTAATAGCAAGCAGAGTTCTTGTAATGTCAGACTCATGTATTACCATCTTCCCAAAATATCAGAACTGAGACACATTGTTTTCTGTGCTGCACATCAGCTCTCTGAGGACTTGGGCAATTCAGGCCTCCTAAAATGCACAGTCTGTGTTTTCTTCATACACCAATTGCCAGAGAAGGTGCTGCATCAGAGGGGAATAAAACTCAGAAGTGTCAGAGAGCCACATGTTGAGGCTCAAAATAGACAGCTCCTCACTAAAACTTGGTCTCTCATTCAGCAAAAGCTTCCAGTCTTCTCTACAATGGAAAAAAGTTACAAGAAAACAAAAGATGGAGTCTAAGGAGAGATTGAAAAGGGGCTGGAAAATAGGTGAAGGCAAACAAGAAGAAGAAATTTGCTCTACTTTTGTCAGGAGAGCACTGCAGTGGTAGAGAAAGAGAAAATGTTTTCAGGTATAAGTTTGGGAGCACCCTCTGAGCTACAAGTTAACAAAAACTAGGCACAAGCCTTCAAGACTCCTTGCAATTCCATGCCAGATTTAATATGCTTGCCATGATAACCAAACAAACTTCTCAATGGGCAAGGACTAATTTTAGGAGCTTGGTTTGTTAAAACCCTTTTTCCTTGGTTAAAAATTTCATTCCCAGCTTAGTTTGACAAATGGACTTTGATTCTTCCAAATTATGAATGAGATTTCTGTGAGAACCCACATTCACCAATAATCTCATGAATGAACACAGCAAAGACCTTTAGTGTGCTGGGGCCTTCACAAACAAGGAGATTAAGTATTTTGTTTTATACTTTATTACCCTTCTGAATCTGAGAGAGTGATGTGATTGCAGGGCATGGGAGTGGGCTGAAATTGAAGCTCCTGCAATTTCTAAAAAAGATATTTTATTTGCCTGAGTGGATTAGCATTTATTTCCTCTAGTTTATTTATTTATTTGGCTATTATTTATTTATTATGGCTATTATTTATTTATTATGGCTATTTATACTGATTTTTAGCTGAACTATAAAATATACATATTGCCCAAAATGGGGTGTGGTAAATTCAAGTCTGAAATGGTAGGAAAGACCAAAATAATCAGCCATTTTTATAGGATTTGAATATATATGATGAAAATACAAACAAAAAAGAAGAAAAAGAAGAAGAAGCAGAAGAAGCAGAAATAGAAACAAAGGAGGAGGAGGAGGAGGAGGGAGGAGGAG